TGAAAATACCCCTCTAGGGGGTTAGTGCAGGGCATGCTGCAGGCGGTTAATTCACAGCCTGTCTTCCTCCAGGGTGGCTTCTTTTCGTGGAGACTTCCGTGTTGCCACTCCACTGGTAGGTTCCGTAGTGTTTTGGGGCTAGACATCCCACCTCACGTACGTGGTAGGAGTTCTAGTGCACTTATTTCACAGGGAAAGTTTTGCATGCTGGTTGTCTGTCTCCAGGGAAGTGGGAAGGGAAAACTAATTCCCTGTAGGATTTTCCTGTGCCCCCCTTCCATTTTCTAATTCCCCCGTATTTCAATTGAGGGAGCATTTTGCCCACTAGAGGAGTTTTATCCGTTGGCCTCAGGATTTTTATAACTAAGTTGGCGTAAGTGGCACATCAGGCAACTGAAAAGATATGCTTCCTTTCCCAAACAGTTTATAGTCTAACACGTGATTTTATGCTTACTTCCTAGCTAAAGTAAGTTTTAGTTCAGTTCTGTTTAGTTTTTCCTATAAATATCTCTCAAGAATTGAGAGCAACTCAGACCAAGCATGTACTATAAAGCTTAAAAGTGTAGGTGAGTTGTCTACATGAGTAAAACAAAAAATTGCATGTGCTACTGAAAAGAGCAGTGCCAGCACAAACCCACCAGTGTGGAAGCAGCTCTAGAGCCAGCGGAATTCCTTTGTCAGCTTAGCTAATGTTGTTTGTGATGGAAATGCAACAGCCCTAGCAGAAAATCCTCTTTCTCTTGATAAATGCTGGGTAATTACACGAACAGGATTTCTGAAGTACAGTCAGGCAAAAAAGCTGGCACGAGCATGAGCAGAGAAATCCCAAAGCAGCGTCAAAACAAAGCTCTGTTGTTAAAGTTGTATGTGCTAAATAGACCTTGAGCTGATGTTCTGAGAGAGATGAATTTCAAGCTTCAGGTTTAATTATTGACATACTACTATTACTTCCTTGAGGTTTGCATTCAGAGTTTTCATTTTATTGTGTCAGTGTTGAAATTCGTGATAGCTGCTTTTCAAATTAACAAATGATTTTTTTCACTTTTGTCAGGTGACTGATTTCTGTTATGTAAATAATACCAATCAGCAGTCTAACATGTAATGATGTGGCATGAACTAAAATGGCCACCAATAGGGATTTCTGCTAGTATTAGGCTTCAAATAAACAGAAAACTTGAATCAGATTTTGGTTGCTGGCAGGAAACACTCAGTGCTTGGTATGCCCATGTGCTGGCAGTGAATCCAGCCTCTCCAGGTCTTCTGCTCATATGCTAGGTTTTAAACGCAGAGTGAGTGTGCACAGCTCCAAAATACCACCTCTTGGTATGTGTTGTGCTTATAGCTACTTGTATTCCTTTTGCTATATTGAAGAGTAAAAATTGTTTGATTTTTTTTAAATCTTGTGCGGCAATTTGCCTCCCTAGGAGTATTTACTGAATGCTAAAATCAGAGTTCTAGGGAGACCATAGATGCTTTACTGCTTCCAGATGTAGCCAGGGAGTTCGAAGAGTTCCCAGCTGTTGATAATTACATGATGAGAACAAGGAAAGATTTCCCTTTGGTCTTTATAGATCATCACTGGGTGTCACTCTTGACTCAGCCTGAAAAATTTTAGAAGTAATTTTTTTTTTGCCTTTTCTTTTTGCCTGACTTTTTTTCTGAAGTCGACACCTTTTATCTTATTTTATTTCACGTTCCTTCCCATATAGGTCAAATGCATATATCAAATGCAGCTCCACAGGGCCAGCTTAAACTCCTGAATTATATAATTCTTAGAGGATATATTGGGGAGGCTTTCAACTTCAGCTACAGTCATGAACCCCAGAAATACCCCTCTGACAACGTGTCATGGATTTACAGGTCCATTATTACATGTGAACAACAAATTCTTTGGGGAATCACAGTACTAACAGCACTGTGTAACCTACAGCAGATGTATGAAGGTAGAATGGCAGTGTGCTGTTTTAGAAAGAGAGGTTGTTTATATATACAAGACATATCATTTTTAGGATGTGTTGCAGTAATAAGTACAGCTTTTTATTGAAACTTTCTAAGTAACTTTACTTAGAGGAAACTTTTATTTTTAAATAGCTTTCACTGAAAGCATTTCACAAATTTTAATACAGTTACTTTGTACTGTTCCTGCTAAGTGCATAAATATTGCCCACAGAGAAAATAGGAAAGTTAGACTAACATTTTCTATATAAAGCTCTCTCCTTTGGCGGATATCTCCTAAAGGTACCTTGTAGGAATCTCTGAATGTGGCCTTGAATGGGAATGCAATTTTTAAACAAAATTTATCACCAGTAAGTGATAACAATTTCAAGTTCACAAACATTTCATTTTTATAGTAAATTATGGCGTTTTGAAGAGTTTATCAAATATTATTAGTCAAACATATCAGTATGATTTACCTTGCCTACCTGAGATTTTCTCAGATTACATAGAAACAGCATTCTGCTATCTCCAGCATTCACCAGTGTCAATCTGAACTTCTTTCTCTTCTTTGTGGAGCTCTGAATTAGCACCAAAATGCTATAAAGCTGCCTATTTAGCAAAATTGCTTTGTTGGACAAAACAAGTGTTCAAAACATATCCACCCAATTCAATCAAAAATCAAAACAAAATAAAGTCCATGTCATTAGTGGACATCATTAAACAAGGCAAAACAATTAAGTAGCTGAAGCAAAGATAATCTTCTCCCACCCTTGTACAACTGTGAAAGAAGTGTGAAACTGCAATTGAGGAACTGGTTCATTCATCGGTTATAGGGCACATGTGATTTCCCCATCTGATACCACTAAAATAATGTTAGAAATATTCAGCAGGTGGGACTGGTTGAAAGCTTTGCAATTTCAGAGCTGTTGATTTCATAAGGAATCCTGCTGCAGTCAAAACTCCAGGCTGTGGTCTTCCAGGTGTAGTGTGGTATCGGAACCAGCTGCAGAAGACTAGTATAGTATTAGTCAATTGGCTTCACTGTAGAGTAATTTGGGGGACTAGTATAGTATTAGTCAATTGGCTTCACTGTAGAGTAATTTGGGGTATCATGCATAAAAATACAAGAGCAGTGAGAAATTACAGCACAGGAAAATACTCTATTTAAGATAAACTACAGAGCACTTGAGTAAAGTCAATGGAATGGTATCAATGAAAGCATTGAAGCAGAGGTGCCAGTGGCACTTTGCCACAGTTTTGGGACTGAATGCAAGTGTGGCAAGATGACCACGTCTGCTCAGTGTGTTTAGTGATGGACGGTGGTGAACAGCCTCCCCTCGAGTCCGTGGGTGCCTAGGAGGCATCTCTAGACGCACGCACAAGTAAAGAAGAACGCGTTTTTACAGCTTCCACGTGAGCATTGACTTCCTGGTGACATTTTCTGTATCACCCAGAATCTTTATCTGCTCACATCTTCTTGCTTCATAGCTAAACTAGATATCATCAATTCCTGGGCATGCCTTCATTGAGCTCGAGGAGAGAGAACAGCCCATAATAGAAAGGCTACAGCTGTGTGCCTGGCCCACGGAAACACGCGCAGAAGCCACAGTGCCCGGGTCACTCCAGACCAAAAATATCGACATATATTTACTCCAGAGTAGGAGACAGTTTTATTAGACTCTTCCAGTAAAAAGAGGTTGCTTGTGTGTTTCTGTATGGTGAATTTCATAGAAAAATAAGGTCTCAAACCTACTCGTATGATCTCAAATTGTGAGTCTTTTAGAAAAAATACTTTTTATCTTCTCTTTCTATAGTCTAAAAGGTAATTAACTTGATGAAGGAGAAACTTGACTATAAATGAACCTATAATTCTAATGTATCTGTTGCAGTGAGATTGGTGCTTGTATTGCAGATTGTTAGATGTTACTGGTTAACTTTTTATCTAAGATCCAATTGGATTAAAAGGTCAGAAAATAAAGTATTTGAAGTAGATTATTTTCACTCTGGCAGTCCTTGGCATCTTTGTCCTGGGAGGAGAGGGGGAAAATACAACTAATGGTTTTGGATCAAAACTCCAAACTGTTTTTATAGCTCTTCTTTCATGATTAGAATGAGTTCCTGTTAATTTTCTCTTAAAATCACTGTAGTTATAGGGAAAAAAAACAACCAACCAAGTAAATAAATCAGGAAAGAACAAAGCCAAAAGGCCACACAAAATCTATCACACCATGGATAAATGGGGCTAATCTGTAATTCATGAGCAATCCCCCAGGAACTGAATCTTCAGATTTGTCCGAATGTTCCTCTCCGTTCTAAATGAGAGTTTTAGGTGTGTTTTGTACAGTGCAATAACAGAGCAATTGTTGAACTTGTATTCTTGCTGTATGTCATTTAGAATGATTTTTAAAAAGTGATCTTTTTTATCATCTATGCATTCTACATATTATCACACATAAGGAGAAAGATGTACAAAGGGAGTTCTCTGAAGTTGCAGAATGAGTCAGTAGCTAACATGAAAACTCAACTGGTCTGATAGTTTTACTCCTCCTTCCCCTGTTTTTTCATCTGATTTCCCTTGGTGTCAGGACTTAAAAAGAACGAAAAGTAAACACTGAATAGTTTGCATATTACAGGAAAACATATTTAATGTGACCCATCATCTTGAAAAAAAAAAATCTGAAGACAAGAACAGTTGTTACTGACTGCTGTTTGAGGATCCTCTTGCTTTTCTACAGTTTGGCACCTGCTCGAGAAATGTCTTCTATAAATAACAGTTTTCTGTTTCAGACGAAATTTAAATTGAAGAGTATCTTTGTGCAGCTGGTCAGTCTTTCTACAACCTTGTAGTGCCAAAAAAAGGAGCAGTGATTCTTCAGGGGCCACAGGGTGAAATGCTTTTTATTGAACAAGACACCGTGTTGTAGAGCTGTGATCAATATCTAACTGCTGTTGCCAGCAGTTCTTGGAGCTGCTGCAAGTGAGAACAGAAAAGCCCCTTGTAGATGGTCCTTGCTCTTTCACTGTTCCTGTGGCTTTCCAGGCTTCCATAATTACTAACTCTAATGGCACAGTGCCCCCAAAGCGAGTACTTCGACAGCCTGCTGCTCTCGTGTAAGCCTTGTCACCTCCGCTGTGCCGGGACACCACCGCGGCCCTGTGAGAAGTACTGTGATAAGAGTAAGTAGCATTTCAGTAGTGCTTTGTGACCACGCTGGGCATTTTCATGTATCATTTTATGTAGATATGTAAACATAACTTGCATGTTAGACCTGGTAGATGTTTATCAGAATAAGTATATTGGCTCAACAATAATAAAGACATTTATCACGTATGTTTATCGTGTATATCATGTATCCTCTCCAAGTATTAACTGTGTTACAAGGAGCAATTTATTTAAGCTCTCAAGCAGTCCCTCAATGGAAAGAGGAAGTGCTCCTTTGATGTGTATATTTTAGCTATTGGGCATGTATTTACTGTTTATCATTTGTTTGCAATGACCATAATGTATCCCTTTTATTTCATAAGGTACTGATTCAGGTGGAGTTCTTTGGATTTGTTTGGGCATAGGACTAATTTTAGTGCTCGCTCTGTTCCTCTTAATGGTCTTGTTTAAACGGAAGCACCTAAAGCAACTAAAAGAAAAACTGAAATACACAGGTGAATAAATGCAATTCTTTATCACATACTTTTAGTTCATTGTAGTACATTTTAGCTATGTGAATTTTGCCTAGATGTTATATTCCAGATTCTCATATCTGGCTTTAGATTCTCTATTATTCCATAAATAATCCCAATAGAGTCACAAAGTTATTAGGGAGTAAAATATCCAGAGGGATAACTTGTAAAAAGAGCAATCTCCCATTTGTTAGCTCTGGATCATGGCAGGATTGTACTTCACTGCATGTTTCTATCTGGCTTATTGTTAGTGTTTAAGAAATCATTTAGGAGCCCCCACTAGCAATCATCTTTATAAGGATTTGATTTTCTTCCTATTGAAAGCAAAAGGAATTCTACCTAGGTAGAGGATAAACATTCAGTATTTCCTTCCCAGCTTGTAAATAAATTTACTTAATCTACCCTCTGATAACTGTGTGACATATTTTTTAAACCTGTAAAAACTGAGCTATTTTTGTATTTGTCCTTGTAGTATTTGTAGAAAATAAGGTATTTCCCAGCCTATAAGCAATAAGCAAAGAGAAAATAAACGTCAGATTACTGCAGTGCCTATCGTGAAGCACAGCGGGGAGGTTTTCCTAAGTCGGAAGGTTACTACCCGCTAGCGCCGTGGCTGCGGCCGGGCACGCGGCGCGCGCCGTGCCCCGCACTAACGAACGGCCGTGTGTTCGCAGAGCCCTGCGCGGAGCCCAGCGATGCCGCCGGGGACTACTGCAGCTACGTTCTTGGCGCAGGGTGACCACGCGAGAGGTGCATATTTGCTACAGAAGTTAGTTACTCAGGCATAGCTATCGGTATTTGCAGTCCAGCACATCACGCTGTGTGTTCTTGTGTTGAACTGCCCTTGATACTGTTATATTATTTCTAATTCTACTCTATCTTTGGTCAAGTATTTTTACATTACTGTCAGGTACCTAGTTAGTGGAATTAGTAATTTTTGGAAGCCTCTGTTTGGAATCTCTCTTCCTTTAGAGACTGTATTTACTCAGCATATTATATTTACTAATCTGCTTGCACAGCTGGATATATACGGGCCCATCAATAAACAAGTTTTCAAATATGTATTTTATAATAAACTCCACAGTGATGCTTGAACCAGGAGTGTCATGATGAGGGAGAAGGGGGACTTTGGGGGAAAGTGGGTTCCTCCCAGCACAGGTTTAACCCCAGTGGGTCTCCTGGGGCAGAGACTCTCCTGCCCGCGCCTGAGGGGAGCCGCGTTCCCGCCTCACGGGGCCGAAAAAAATTCCCTCCCCGCGGCCCCTTCCCCCCCCGCTCCCCCCCCGGCTCGCCCGGCCCCGGGGAGGTGCGAGGGGAGAGGCGAAGCCCAAAGGGGGCTGCGGGGTCCGTGAGGAGAAACACGCGCGAGTGCTGCCGTCTGCGGGCCCGAGCTGACCTGGTGCCTCAAAAACCGGGAGGCAGAAGAGGCCGCTGGAAGGAGCCCCACAGCCCCTTCAAAGGGTGCTGGGATGGAGGGAGGAATGTCACAGACAACAGGTTTTCCTTGGAAAATCCTTTTCATGGCTCTGCGCTTACCACTCCACCATGGACATGTCCTCTTCAAGTCTGAGGGCGTTACCTTGGCACAGCCGAGAACCAGATTTTTAGGGGTTTTTCTTCCACCTTGATGTTACATGTAGTGAGAGTTGTCAAAACTAGGAGGAAAAATTGAAGAGTTAACTGGCGTAGTTAAATGCTTTGGTATTTTAATGAATAACATTCAGTTGTGAAAATGAAACTCAGCAAAAAGGAAAGTGAGCTGAATTTGCACTTGAATTTTTCTGTGTTGTTCTGACCTTCGTGGTAAGAAGAGATCAATATTCAAAGGTTCCTATGGGAAGAGAAGCAACTGCTTGTGGGAAAATTATTAATCAGCATTGTGGAAAATGTGAATAAGAGTGAAGCTGTTCAAAGTATGGAAAGAAATACTCTATAATGCTTCTGATTTGAACATTATTTGTAGATTGAATCCTAATTTTGATGGTTTTAGGAATCAGTGTTTTCTTGTAGCCCTTCAAAGAATGAATCCAAACTAACACTGGCCTTGTGCAAATTTATGCTAATTGGTGCCAAAATTAGCACCAATAGGAGGGTCGTTTGGATTTTGTTTTGTGATTGAAGAACCAAAACACATAGCATAGAGCCACCTCATGTAGTTTTTTTAAAAGCTTTAATTATTTTTAACTAACAAGGAGATATAGAACTAAGTGAAGAGAAATAATTCAATTACTTAATACTGCAGCAGGCATTATTATTTTTGGTAGTAGTCAGGTTGTTCGCTGGCCTGCCTGTGTGTCATCTTTGCCAGGCTTTATGGGTTTTCTAACACTTCTGATTGAACAGTGAGATGGTATAAAGATTGTTAATTTTGCCCGTTGCTGGCCTATGCTATTCTCCAATTTAGTTTAAAAAAAAACTAGAATAATTTTTAAGGGTAATGTGGATGGAATAGGTGAAGAGGACAGAGAAATGTATATTTTTATGCTTCCCCCAGGGGAAGGAGTTGGCTAATGATGGCATCATCAAACTTAACCTCCTTTTTTTTCTGTGACTGAAACAACACTCTCTGCACTTACTTCAAGGCCTAAAATTGGGAGAAGGAAGAAAAAGGGTTGTTCATAAAGGCAGGAGGCCTTCCTGCCCTAAAACCTACAGCTGTTTTAAGCATAGTTGCAGTGTTTTACTAGTGGATGTAAAAGCAATTTCCCTTTGATTTCAGTATTGCTTAATCTTACTTTTTAATTACCTACTGATGAATTAACCCAGACAAACTAGATTTATGTACTTTTCATGGCCAACCTGGCAATGTCTTTCAGTATGCTTATTAACTTTTAAAAAGTTGCTCAGGGGAATTAATAAAAGATTCTGTGTCAACAGATGATATTATTTCTCTGTTTTTGTCTGTTATTTGGTGGAAATGATGAAAATCACCAGGCACAATCGAGTTTTAGGACCAGGACAGGGTTGCCCAAAAGGAGGTCGCTTCGCTTCTCTGGGGCCTCGTGCCAGGGGAAGACACTGTGAATGCAGCAGCACAAAAGGTTTATTACGCCTAAAGTAAAGAGTCAATGCTGACCAAGTCCTCACCTTCTCTCTCACTTCAGAATATGCTGAATACAGGTGAAAATGCAGTCTTGAGAATCAGGTGTGTTGTTGTCAGCTTTGAAATTCTTGTAAGTTATTTAAAATAATGCAGCTTGAGGTAGTATAAACACAACAATGTAGTGGTCTGAGGTAGTATTTAGATCAGGTCTGTGTTTCTATTGTATTTTAGACTTGAACCCTCAGATCCTGCATGAGAGAAAGCAATTATAGTCTGAAAAGAGTTAGGCTCCAAGTGCAGAAGACCTGAGACCTTTTTTTTAACCTTTCTATGCGTGGAGATGAAACTAGATGAAATTCCCTTTTTTTCCTTCCTCGTATAATCGTTTCTTCTTCCGTATGTGTGGATATTTCTATCACCATATGGTCAGAAGTGCATTTTAAAACTAAGAAAACAGACTGAAACTCAAAAAATGGCAAGGGTTGTGGGAGCAGGTGCAATACCTGGGAATAATTTTTATTCTTATTTGGCTGAATGGATGTAGTTTGGAAGAGTTTCGTTAAGTTTCTCAGTTTTTGCACTTTTTTCTTATGCTTCCACAGTTGTTTATAGTCTTACGTATGAACTTCCTTTTTTTATATAGTTTAAAAATAGCCATTTTGTTGTATGACTAATGCTGTTTTCCTGGAGTACTTATTTTATACTTATGCATGTGTTACTGTGCTTTTTGCTGCTGTTTTGAATTTGTAAAATGGTAGTTTGGTCGGTTTATAATAGAGAATTCGTCTTGAAATCAGATGAGGGATGAATCACACTTAAGCCGTGCCCTTGTCTGAACATATGCCTTGTTTTTGAGGACTTGTTTTAGAAAATCACTAAGACTGCAGAAAATTAAAATCTTTGATAGACTAGGTAGAGATTTATTTTTACCTTCAGTCTATTTAAAGCAAAAATGTCTATTTAAAGCAAAATTGCTTCCAAAATGTGTGTCAACTACAAAAGAATATAACATTTTTATAGACCTAATGCAAAGAATAAAAATATTCCCTACTCAAAAATACTTTGTTTCAATTTTCAAAAAAGCCTAGACTTTGGGAATATTCTTTCTTTTTCTTCTTCTTTTTTTTTTTTTCTTCCTCAGTGTGGCCTCATAACGTGGTTAATTATGAAGATGAGCTGGTTATGGAAATTATTGGTTGTAATCATGCACAGTCATAACTCTTATTAGGACCTCAAGTACAGTAAAGGCAAAAAGTACTTGTTAAACTGCCCTAAATCTGTGTTTGATGTTGAATGCTTTGGTCTTTCAGAATGTTAATTAATATGGTGATGGTCCTCTTCTGTGGGATTTGTGTATTTATTTTTAAAATTGTTCACTCTCTGATATCTATTTGTAAAACATCTGTTGATTTACTTAATCCAGAGGTGTCAGAGATGGGAATTGTATAAACTAACCTGTACTGCATTTGGAAGGCAAACTTGACCCACATGCTCTGCATTTTAGTTGGCTACATGTTTCCTAGCTTGCAAAATTATTTACATGCGTGGTTTTTTTTTTTTTTTGTGCAAAGTAGCTTCAATGTGTTAATGTAAAAAAGAAAGGTTGCATTGTGCCTTGGAGGCAATGCATTAATTTAATTGAATTAATTTAATTTTTCGGGGTCTGTGTGTTGACCCCAGTATTTTTTTTTTTTTTTTTAATACTGTTTATATAAGTAACAGAACTTTGCTGAATTTTAGGTTCACAGAGCAATGACACTAAAAGACAGTTTCTTCTAGAACGCTTACTGGATGCAGTTAAGCAGGTGAGAAATCCTAATCCTGTTTCTGCAATGTGCCTGTGCGGAGGTGACAATCCTGGCAGGACTCGTTATAGACTGATTAGACTTGGGATATTTGCTGTATCACTGAGGTAATTGGCAGTGTGCTCCAAAATTTACATTACACATGTGAAATGTAACATTTTACATCTGCAGCTTCCTTTCTTCACACTAGGATTTTAGTACATGGGTTGAAATACAGATAAGGGTGGGAAGTTTGTTTTTTGAATAGACATGAAGATTGGCAAGTAGCATTTCATAAATTTGATTGAGCTTAGGGGAGAGGTTGAGAGCTAAAAGAAAGCCTCTGAAGTCAGGTAGCTGTTTTTATTATATAGGTAATGGTTATTCTGTAATCGTAGCACTGAGGTTATTGGAAGCAGTATTTATTTCTGTGGACAGACATTTAAAGCTTCAGAAGTAGTAACTTTTACTCCTTTTGTGTGTTTATTTTGTTTTAATTCTAAATGGCCCTAATACACACTATTTTTGCTAGCAAGAATATATTTGAACTGCAAGAGTAGTTTGATTGTAGAACACAATGCTAAAAAGCACTTTTGTGCTGCAGGCTATATTTGCCGCTGCTCTATTTTGTACCACTTCCTTTTTTTCTTTGTTATGACTTCTTGTTTTGTTCTCAAATGGAAAAAATCTCAGAATGTTTAATTTCTTAGATTTTAATATGTTTTTATTGTACTACTTATTGCAGTGTCAGATACGGTTTGGAGGAAGAAAAGAAATTGCTTCAGATTCTGATAGCAGGTAAAATAGTCTAAGAAACTTTTAACATGCTTAGTTTGCATATCAGCACTACATAAAACATGCTGCATGAAAATATTTGGCATATTTGAAAGAAACCTCCCATTTCCTCTGCTTTACAAAGGCACTGACACAGAGTTGTGATTTCATCATGTTTATAGCTTAGCAAAGCTCCTTTTGGGTGAAGTTGCAACTATTTTAAGTGGCTGCAGAGTTAATGATAGGGCTCAAACTGTGAAGTCTGAATGTGAGATTAGATTGTTTTTCTTTTTTTTTCCCCAAAAAAATCCTCTTTTAAAATTAGTGCATTTGTTATCATTGCAGCTTTTTGCGTAGCATCACACCTGGATCTCAAGTGTGTTTAATGCCCCTCGCAGAGTTACTCCTGTATTTTTTTTTTTTTAATCTGATTCCTGATTTTCTGGTGTGCTTACATCTGCTTTCCTTCTTTTTCTGTACTATTAATTGTCCCTTTTTATTAATATGTTTTTTTTTAAAAAAGAGGAGTTTTCTTTCCAGTCCCCTTCAAATCCAGTCTTAGAGAGCAGGACTAAAGCTGTGTTTTCCTGACTCCTGGGACACCAGGATAACAATTCCTCGCTCCTGAAATGGAGAGTGGGGCAGGATTGCTGCATCTCCTCGAGGTTCCCACTTCTGTGCTAACTCACTGCTTTCCTAAGCAAACTGTGGTGATCATCTCATCCACTTGGAGTTAATTGAATAAAAGGAAAAACAATCATTCAAAGCATAGCTTTCTGCCAGTTCAGTGAGTTAAGTACTTTGAATAAAATGTCGGGTGAATGCTGGAGTTCCTCCAAGGAAAGAAGATTGTGCTGCTGGGAGCAGGAAGAGATGTGGGAAAGCAGGAAGAAGTGCAGAGGAGTGAGAGGGCAAATGGACCTTGTAGGACAGCTGCATGTGGAACTACACACTGAAGCTGCTCCTTGAATGCCTAAGCCTTTCTTCTTTTTTTTTTTTCTTTTCCCGCCTTTTTTCCTTCTTCCACATTTAAGCTTCAGGTAGAAATAGGTGGATTTTTATTTATTCGCTGTGGGACAAAACAATGATGCTGCCTTTGTAGCAGGCTGTTATCAACTCAGTAACAACAAACACCTACCATGCAGAATGATTTTTTTTTCCACATTTAGAACTTTGTTGCTTAGTTTGCTTTAAGAACTGCTTTACTGCCTTTTTTTTTAAAAGACCTGGAAGAATGATCTTTAGCATTTATCTCCTGAGAAGCAGGGGAATTAGGATTCGAAAGATATACTGCTGGTCAAATTGTCCTTATAAATATCTTCCGTAGAATTTAGTAGACATGCTGAGTAAGGGATTATAACTATGCAGTTTAAGGCTTCAAAAGGAAGTGGAAATTATGGGAATAGATGTTTATTTTTAGGGTGTTTTAGATTAGAACCATGCTAAATGTTATTAGATAATTTTGTAAGTGAGAATGGTCTGAGAATTTATATCGAATTGTAGCAAACTTCATGATTCTCCAAAATTTACTCCTCCAGCACTTTGTCTTTGAGATTGTAACTGTTCAGAGCTCTGTTATGTCTATGTAATAGTGGACATCTTCCTGTTTTTCTGCCTTTGTTTAACAGATTGTCATGGTGCTATTTGTAATGCCCAATATATATAAAGTATTTAATAGAAAATTCCCTTTTTTTTTTCCTACATTAATGGCTAAATTTTCTTGTAAACTGCTGCTCAGTTTTCTGGCTTTCATTTGCAGGGCACATAGATTGTTAGTAATATGAACTCTTTCACAGAAACTAGTTTCCATTCTGCTTTCTGTGAATGTAAAAACCATGTGGATTTTTTGGTCATGTATTTGCTGGAATTTCCATTTGACAGCATCCTTTTTTTTTTTTTTTCATTAATTAACCACAAACTTTAGCTATCATCTTGAGTACTGTTTAAATGGTACTCAACCTTATTAGTATTTTGAAGGAAAGTTGTGTTTTTTTTTTTTTTTTCCTAACATAAATGTACTGGAAAGTGTTTTTGTATTAAAAGCTCTATTTTTCAGATGACTACACTAGCTAAGCCTCTTTCATTCTTCTCCTTAAATCTTCTTCCTTAACCTTATCTTTCTTGTGTCCCAAAATAGAGATTTACAGTGCTGGAATCTTGGGCAGAGTCCCAAGACTTTGTCAACCCTTTGTATCCAACTGCTTTGGCTTGGCTAATTGTCTGTAGTTCTTTGTTTTACTAATCGACTTGAGCAGCCAGGTGACAGCTTTCTTAAATCTTGTAATTTAAGTATTATTTATGTAATAGCAAACAACAATTGGAGAAAAAACTATTTACTAACTGCATTGTTTTAAAAATCTATACTTCAGTAAATTGTTAAATAATATTGTAGAGAGCAACGATTCAAAGTGACAGTTAAATCTCTAGAAAAATCTTGCTTTTTTTTTTTTGTCTTGCGCTTCATGGATTATGGTGTGATAATGCCAAGAACATTTTTTTCTGGAAATTTTAGAATGCTTTCAGAATACTGTTGTTTTCAAATACACTTGTTGCTATACAAATATAGCTGCATTGAATGAAAAATAGATAAGTTGAAGGTAAAATAGCATGATTAACAAGCAGGCTAAAACTTGATGATGACTTTTCAAACTGGTTGCTAATCAATCTGAATAAGTAATCTGTGCACTAGTTTGGAATAATCATGATGAGACTAGATATCAGTAGGTTATGCTGTTTGCAAATAGTGTGATTAATGCAAATAAAAGATGCTTCTCTATGTATATCAAATAGTGACTCACCTGTACATTCTCTGTTCAGAGATTGCAGTTGACTGTTCATGTTCCTTCACATGATTTCTGTGGTAATTTTGTTGCAGAGTCACTTGCTTGTGTGCTCAGTTTGAAGCTGTGTTGCAGCATGGTCTGAAGAGGAGCCGAGGATTAGCACTGACAGCAGCAGCAATCAAACAGGCCGCAGGTTTCTCCAGTAAAACCGAAACAGGTAATTCACTGATCAGAACCACTTCGTTTTAAAATGTTCATAAGTATAAGCAATTGAGATAATTTCTAAGGGGAATTGTAAGAAATGAACCAAACTGCAGGCTGTTGTTAATGTAGGTTCTTGAAATTTCGTTACGTTGTGAAAAGACTTTTTGCTGCTTAATCTAGTTCAATTTTCATACCAATCTTTTCTAGGAATTTTAGTACTTGGAAGTCTGCGGTTCCTACAGTTCCATCATGAAAAATATTATGGACAGTTTTATCTCGATAGGGATAAGCACTGTGTGACTCTGCTCCTTGCTTTTATACTGTTACAGTTTCGTTCTCAACTGTGTTTTACTTTGTTCTTTGATCGCCGTTTCGTCACAGCATCAGGCATGTTTATTCTCTAGCTATTGATGTCATCTTTAAAAACAAGGCTCAGATTGCTTAGGTTGGATGGGTTGCTTTATATTGATTTCTCTGCTTTATTTTTAAGGGATTCCTTTATTTTTGTTGCCTTCTCAGCACCTTTGCGATACCCTTATTTTCTCATCCAAAATATATGCAGTTGTTTATATCATCTTCATCCCTTATGCAATGATATCTCAACTTGAACTTGAACACACGGTTTATAATAGAACATTTCTTTTGGGCTTTTCAAAATCCCATAGGTGTAACATGTATCAGAATTGTTTCCATAGTCCTATAATTACTAATGCATTGTGATCTCTAACTTATAGTGCATGTAGTGGATGTTACATTAAAACTTAATAGGTAGTTTCATATATGTTTTATATATATATTTAACTGCTATATATATATGTTTCTTCCCATTTAATAGGGTCAAATGTTGGATCTTGTGTGTTGACTTGTGTCCTGCTCATGTGTTTGAGCCTACAGACTTTGTTTTCTTGGAGAGATAAAATAGGCTTTTAGAGAAGTTTTTGAGCTTACTGTGTTCAGCTCCAGACTTAATAATGGAGGGAATGCAACACTTAAAGGTCCTGGATAAACAAATAAGGAAAATCCATATATTTGTAACTGTTATAGATAAACCCTTAATTGTTATTAAAACTGTTACAGAAATTCACTTTTATGTGGACTAGATGATCTCTAGAGGTCCCTTCCAACCCTAAGCATTCTATGATTCTATGTCTTTTCCCTTTCCTTGTGTGCACAGTGAATGCACTGGGTACTTTTGAGGCCTCTTTCAGTCCCTGGGTAGCTGCCACTCTGCTGTGTTACCTCTTCCATGGGTAGAAACTTAATTACCTGTCGTTAATGTCAAGGATATGTGAAATTTTTGGTTCTGTTTTTTTGAGATATATTAGTCTTCAAATGTAGGAAGGTGTCTCTGCTATTTGGGAACTTTACAGCAGTTTAGCTTTGTACTTGGGTATGTATAAAGTCTCTTCTCTGTGGTTTTGTAAATCAGATTATGTAGAAGAGGAGAAAATCAGGATAGAGATTTATGGTTGATGAATACGAGAATGAAGCATTTTTACTACTTGAAGCTTTAAGAGTGAGTGACGTGGAAGTTCAAGAATAAGAATATGGCTTTTTGCAGCAATCAGACTGAACATAATGTCTGAGGAGTTTTTTTAGTATAAATTACTGGGTACCACTTTAATTTTCTGAATTTTATCTGTGTATTATATATTTAAGAAGAGTTACAAAGAACCCTCCCCTGCTTTTTTGGTCACTTTGAGGTAGTTGATTTTGGAGTGATCTATATTTGGTTCTGTCATGAAGGGACTTAAGATATAGCATGTCTCTACCCAATTTCCATTAAACAGATTTTGATTGAAAACTGATGATAGTCCAAAGTTTGAGGATTTTGAAAATCCTAGATACATGTAAATCGTCACAGTGCTAGAAAACATGGAGTTTCACTCTAAGCACAGGGGGGAAAATCTGCCCGTTTTCTCTATTCCTGTAATATTTTTCGCTTCCTTCTTTACCTTTGTTCAAAGTTTTAGTAAGACAGAAATGAACTTTGTTGGTTCCCAAAAACAAAATCATTAAATCACTGTAGTCCTCAAGGTGCTGCATTTGTGTGAAGTATGTTTTAATTTTAAATGTGCGAACATTTTATTTTTGTAATACTGATACAAATAAATAGAAATTAAATGGGTAGAATGTGATATTTGAAAGTTCTGATGTATTTTTTTGTCCTTTCTGTTGCAATCTGACTAGTTTTGAGTTCAGCCAAGCGCGATTTCCGTTCTGCATGTGTGAGTAAACCCGGAGTGCAGTAAGGCCTTGCAGTTACACAATAATTTGAATGACGTTCAATGGGGGCCTAAGATAATGCTGGATTAAACCAACGATCCTCTGAGTCCAGTGCTTCAGCATGCTGGAGGAGTGTAAAGTCCCTTGAAATGGAAAGTTGAGAAAGAAAATTTCCATGTAGTCATCTTTCTCATCTTTTTGTGATTCCCATATTCTGCACCTCTTAGCATATTTTGAAGAACTAAGGTGTGTTCTTGTGTTGCTGGCAGACCTGTTTGGTGAAAATTTAGTTAGTGGTTCTAATTTGGTTGTATCTAGTTAGGTTTCTAAAATAGCTTTTCCAACCTGTATATGGTCTTCAGCGGAGATAAGCGAACAAAGATGTTTCCTCAAATGATCATACTGCAACACGCAGAGACAGAACCTGTACGAGAACCTATTCAAAGCCTGGCCACTCACACTCTTATTTAGAGGAGAAAAAAAGAAACATTATAGGTGACCTTTTCTTAAAACTTTAAACTATATTTAAAAAAAATCTTATAAGGAATTGTAGGATCAATCTCTTTTAGCTGTCACAGTGATTTTAATGTGTCTTTTACGAAATTTGATACCCTTGAATTTTTTTGAAGATGTTCATTAAAATTTCCGAAGGAGCATCTGCATTTCTTCCCTGAAAGATGGATGTGTTTTAAATTTTCTGTGGAATGGCTGACCTTCTCCACTCTGTTTTTCCTTCTTTTTTCTCCTTCAAAGCCTGTCTGCCTTGGGTTGAATCTGTTAATATGTTACCAATTGCACACCTTTAACAGTCTTGTCACTGTTTTAGTTATTGGACCATTCTAGTTATACAAACTCAAAATCACACGAAACCTAATCTTTTTTTTTTTTTTTTTTTTTTTCGTAGTTCAAAATTCTCCAAATACTTATATATAGTCAAAGATCTATGGTAGTAAACAACCTACTTAACTGGAGGGCTGTAAGCAGATGGTAAATAATTCATCTTTGTTCTGTGTTATATCCGATTACCTTTCTATTTTGTGAAATTGCATAATGGATGCACTCCAGTGGAGGTAACTTCTCAAGTCGTAAGCACTATCTTGATTTCGAAAGAAGACCAAATGAAACTTGTAAAATCAATAGAAGAAAATAATAGTGCTCTGCATGTATTTTTTTTTTTTCCAGAACCAGTGTTTTGGTATTATGTAAAGGAAGTTCTGAATAAACATGAGTTGCAGCGCTTTTATTCTCTGAAGGCAATTTCTACAGATATTGGTAGAGGGCGAGCCTGGCTGCGCTGCGCGTTGAATGAACATTCACTGGAAAGATACGTCCACATGCTGCTTGCAGATAAGAATCGGCTGAGGTTTGTATCTGACAACTTCATGATGTAGGAGATGTGCACGTACAAACAAAGTTTTGAGACAGAGTATGTATGCATCTGTAACAAAACCGCACGTTCATCAGTAGAAACTATTTAATTTCCCACTTAAAAATTCTTTTTTTTTTTTAACTGACTGCGTCCAAACTCCTAACTGACTTGGTTTAAGGTAATTAATGATTTGCTTTTGAGTATTGAAATATATCACTGTATCAAGTGTTGTTGTTTGCTTGTAGCCATGCATTTTAATGTTTTGTAAAATGACTTGATAATGGCTTGATAATGAGGGTCAAGTGCAGTCATCTAAAATTAGGTATGGAGAGGTAATTGTGCCTGTTATTGTAACATAGCCCTCATTGCCTGCATTGACTTCTTTCTCTGTAGAAAGACAGAGCATGCACAACTGAAGATAAATTGTTGCTTGAGTAATTCTCGTGTACTTTTCACTTATGCAAATAAACAAAATTTTCTTTAACCTTTGCTATTTTATCTTGTCTGATACAACTATTCAGACTTTCCACATATTGCAGGACTACAGAATTATATCCATTGATGTCCTAAAGCTTGTTTACATTTGAAGTCATTTACAGTGGAATATGCATTGATATAGGCTGTATATTCTAAGTGTTTACCTTTCAATTTGTAGTGTCTTCTATGAAGACTGGTCTTTTATGATGGATGAAGAACGTTCCAGTATGATTCCTACAATGGCAGCTGGTAGGACTGACTTAAATGCTACTGTTCTGGGAAAACTATTTTGACATGTTTTTTCTGTTCTTGCTTGTGGGAAAAACTACTGAAATGCACTGTTGGCTTATGTAGACCGTGTGTGTTACATGTCAGGTGTTGGAGGGGATGCAGTCTAGGGTATTACACCACTCTGTGTTATGAATTGGTGTACTGTCAAAATACAAGATCTTGCCTGTCCGCTGCTGCTGAAAAGTCTTCTGCAAATAAAAGCAAACTGAGTCAAGAGTCAAGGCTAACTTTTTTTGAACTATGTCTATTAAAATAAACAGAGTTGCTTCTAACAAGAAAAGGACATATGAAGTACGTATGTGGGAGAATTAAGAGTCAGGAACAGTAACAGAGATGACTTATTTTTCTGAAGTGTGACCACAGAAGTGCTGCAGTATTGCTGTTTACACCTAGGTCTCTTGGATACATGGTTTGTTATGAAAATAGAATTCTTTCTTTCTTTCTGTCTTTTTTAATATGATTTAAGAACTGACTATTCAAAAAGTGTTTTATAGGCTATAAGAACTGCCAAAGTTGCAGTGAAATGGATTTAAATATCAGGTTATAAATAAATCGGTTCACAGTCCTTATTGCATATTTAATGTTAGTCAGCTGTACAGCCATCAAAATAAATTCAGAACTGATTGCAGCAGCTTGAATAGTATCTAACAAAGAGTGAACGGTACATGAAAGAATAAAATTCTTTCATTAATTTCACTCTTAAAATATAGAGAACTGTAGGAAAAAAAATTGGACAAATGTTTTTGTCATATGTCTATATTGTATCTTTAAACTCTATCAATGTACCTTTTTCTGGAGTATATAGTGGGTTTTTCAGTCTACTTTTTTCCTTTCTTTTGTCTGAAGGTCTGAACTCCATCCTTTTTGCAATCAACATTGATAACAAGGATTTAAATGGGCAGAGCAAATGTATACCCACAGTATCTGATCTGCTCAAGGAATCGACGCAAAACGTCACCTCGTTACTGAAGGAATCCACTCAAGGTGTCAGCAGCCTTCTCAGGGAGATAACTGCCTCGTCTGCCGTCTCCATCCTCATCAAACCGGAGCAAGAGACCGACCCACTTCCTGTTTTGTCAAGGAACGTAAGTGCTGGTAAGTGCTTTTGCAATGTGAATGTCACCCAGAACATTCTAAAGTCTTCTAAGGTGTTTAAATCCTTTTTCAATTAAAAAAAAAACGCTATTATACAGAGGGAAAAAGAAACTTAAAAATACATGTAATGCACCTGTGAAGCACTTGAAGATAAAAATATATATTTTTTGGAAATGCAGGTCTGAATAATGGATAGTAAATGTGTATTACAACTTCTCTGTAAGGTGTTAGACTTGTCAGGTCATATTCCAGTTCATAACATTGTGCCCTGCAGACCCTGGTGTACTGATTTGTCATAAGCAATATGCTCATGTTTGTCACTTGGTTACACTACCATGTATCTGTTATATATCCGATTAAAAGCTAGATTGTAAGCAAGATACTGGGATTTCTGTATTCTCTGAATTAAAAATAAAGATTTTCTATAAGGTTTTAAAGTTTGAATTGATTTGATTATGACAAAAATGAAAAAGGGCGCAGCAATGCACATGTGAAGCACTTGAATGGAAGATAAAAATATATTTTTTTTGGAAATGCAGGTCTGAGTAATGAATAGTAAATGTGTATTATAACTTCTGTATAAGGTGTTAAACTTGTCAGGTCATATTCTAGTTCATAACATTGTGCCCTGCAGACCCTGGTGTACTGATTTGTCATAAGCAATATGCTCATGTTTGTCACTTGGTTACACTACCATGTATCTGTTATATATCCGATTAAAAGCTAGATTGTAAGCAAGATACTGGGATTTCTGTGTTCTCTGAATTAAAGATTTTTCTATAAGGTTTTAAAGTTTGAATTGATTTGATTATGACAAAAATGAAAAAGGGGGCAGGGGGATGGAAATAGGTAGGAATAGATGAGATCTGCTTTTGCTCTTGCCATTTAGAGGTCTGTTTTCTTAAAGCAAAGTCCTTCTAAGGCAAACCGAAAAACAAACCTTCATTGTTTAGGGCTTTAAACAAGACTAAAATAATGCTTGAATTCGAGTAACTTTTTGTTTTTTGAGAGTGGGTTCTTACTCCAAAATCCCTACTACCACAGGATAGACATACTGTAATTGGAAAGGGTTTCATTGTATTTCACGACTCAGAACTAATGAGCAGAGGGAGTAAGCAAGTCTGTTCTGAAAACCGTCTGTTCTCTTTTCAGAATAGAAACAAAACTGCCTCTGGTTGCTGGTAAAGCAGGTGTTTCATGTTGTCTTGTTTTGTAGGCATGATCTTCAATGAATACTGGCTGTAACCCATAAGATAGGGTGCCTGGAAGGCTGACCTTTTAAAAATTGTGTTTTAGAAGATTCTTGGATTTTTTTCCCCTCCTCTTCCAATAATATACTGTGAAAAATGCACCTCCAAAATATCTTTTCAAAATCTTAATTATTTAAGCCATATTAAATAAAAGTTTTAAATATTTAAATGTTCATGTCCACGGAAAGGTGATTGAAATGCCTTGTGGATTTCATTGTCTTTCCCAAGATGTTTCTCATCTTACCTTCTGGAGTTTTTTGGTGTTTTAATCCCTTGCTCTCTCAAATAACTAAAATGTCCCAAAATGTTCTGATCCCAAAAACCTCAAACTTTCACTAGCTGTAATTTAAAACAAAACAAACTTTGCTCTTTACAGTTTTCATGTCAGCTGTCTTTCATCAATGCATTGTTAGTTTTATCTAATTAATGTCTGAAAATCATAACTGTTCACCTTTGCTTGCTCCATAAATATCTGTTCATTTTTTTCCTGAAATAATTTAGTTTGTAAAAGAAGTATATTATATAGTTTTTTTTTCCTCTTTTTCTTTCATTAAATGGACACCTTTCTGTTGCTACCAGATTTAAAATCAAGAAAAGATAGAAAAAAGAAGAAGAGAGTGACAAATATTATCTCATTTGATGAGGAGGAAGATGAGCAAAACTTCGGGGATGCCATAAAGACTCTGGCCACAGGAGAAAGTTCAGAGGAGAATTCAGACATATCTTCAGTTTTTGTGTTACCCTCATCTGAAAGCAGTCTTGGGAAAAGTCTGAATGGGCATGAAAGTAACCATCTGTGGAAAGGCAATTCAATGTTTCTGAATGGAGAGTACGAATACCAGAAACTAGATGTAAAGAGCATTGATGATGAAGATATAGATGAAAATGAAGATGAGCTGTATGGAAAAACATTAGGAAATAAAGGCACGGAAGATGAAATTGAAGCTTCTGAAAAGTAAGTCATTTTAGTGAAGGAACAAGTAATGAAGTCTCTTTTTCATGCCCTCACGCTGTCTTTTTGTATTTCGTGGGTACTGACAAGTTCACTTAGTTAACAAAAATCCCTGAACCACTTGGCCTGGTGTGGTCACAGTAGCTTGTTTCCAAATTCTGCTAAAATTCGGAATTTTGAGATTTCAAGTTTGTTCTTCATGAATTTCTCAACTCTTGAAAACGCTGGGTGATAAAGCCAGGTTAATTCTGACTAAACTAAAGCTTTCTTAATATTATATCGACTAGATTTTTGGCCTTACAGTAAGACAACATCTCTTATATAGAGAAAGCCTGCTGGTATCAGTTAAACAAGACAGAGTCATCAAATTAAGAGAAAAATAGTAGCTTTAGGTACTGATATTCCCTGTTCTTCTCTAAGGTCCATTTGCAGAACTGGTGGGCAAGGGGAAAGCACTGCTGCTTGCCTGCTTTGTGGTAGTCTGCCCTGTGAATCTGTGATGTCTGAACCCAGAAACCAGGAGGCAGACTGAAATGCAGAGTTATTTTTTTCTTGCAACAGTAGCCTGAAAGAAATAAAAGTATTGCAAAAATAAATGTTGTCTAGAAATATAACTTTTTTTTTCTTTTACTCTAGGCCTCATGAAACTAGTGCATGCAGTTCTCAGCTGTGCAGCTGGACTCCTCTACAGGTCCTGAATGATGACTCGGATGTTCTGTTTCCTGTCAGTGCTGTCGGCTCTTACTCACAAACTGGTGGGTATTTTAATTCTACCTGATTTCAGCAAGCTTTACAACAGAATTTCTAGCATGAAACAGTGGTAAGAAATATGGAACTGTAAGAATATACGAGAAACTACACAGTTTGGAATAGACAGGGAGTTAAATAAAACTTATTGTGGACCTGGATTAAAATTCTCTGTTTGAGTAGCCTTGCACTTAGCTCATCTTTAAACTATCTATTTGAAGAGGATTTATCAATGTCAGGGTAGAATTTTATATCCAGCTTGCAAACACCATTAAGTTCAAAGAAGCTGCAAGTGTGTTAGAGAATTTGAACTCAAATTAATCTTGGCAGAGGGGTGAAATAGTAACAAACATTGGATACCGATGGCTTCAATACAAGTCATTAATTGCTGAGATGCAAGATGAGGAGTGAGTGGCTAGGAAATACTCCTTCAGAAAAGGATGTGGGAATTAATGACTCCCAAGCTGGTAGTGAGGTAGCAGAAAGCACATTCTGTACCGAGGAGCCACATGAAAGTGTCCCTTGTAAGCCCGAGCTCCCTTGGCCCTGGGGTGGCCTCGGCTGCAGCGCCGTGGGCTCTTGGAGGCAGGCCCAGACCAACTGGAGAGGTCACTGGAGGTAGCAAGGAGAAGGATCCGAGGCAGGAAAACCAGATCTGCAAAGAAAAGCAGAAGGAAGGGAGAGCCTTGAGAAAGGCAGAGAGGATAGTGGCTCTCCCGTAGGTAAAAAGCAGCTGTGGGACTTTTTGTACAGTCAGATTAGACAGGAGCTGGTGTTTTCTTCTTCCTGCATTAAGTCTATCAATGGTGTTGTCACCCTGTCCCCCAGTGTGTGTATGTGGTACTAGCTAGCAGAGATCAAGCTTAGTGTAGTGCAGTTTTTAATGTACTCAGTTTGGTGTCTACCAGCTTTAGCTGAATGTTGAAAGGTGTTTATTAATGCTTTCTTTGAGCATTTCTCCAGTATCTGTATCTCTGTTAAAAACAAACAAATTATTTCCCAAAACTGGCTCTGGAAAACGTTTGCTAGGCTCTTGAGGCAGGATTAATTAGTTAACTAGGGACATAAGCTGGAAGAGTCTGCTAAAATTTACTGTTATTACTGTCCATTAAATTGATGAAATCAAAGACAGAAGAGCCAGAATAATAAAGGCAGGAGCAGAGATTTAATATTTTTCTAGATTTTTTTTGTAAGTCCGTGCTTATATAAAACTTTAGATATGTGTTCTTATTGCAACAACCACTTAAAAACCTCTCGGCAGCATTTGAATAATTTGTTTTAACAGTAAAAATATTTTCTGTATTTTTTTTTTGGGTGCACAGTAGGTGTTCAATGGACCATTAATTGAAGGGGTGTGAAAAAATGTAATTCACTTTTTTAAATTCCATAATTAAAGTGATTAAAAATAACATCTCATACAGTGATGTAATACTGCCCTCTGCTGTATTTTTGTGTATTGTATATATTAAGAAGTGCCAGTATCTCAGAAAAAGAAAAGTGTCTTTATTTTCTGGCATAGTGTATGTGAACTTGTTCCCCTTAAAGAAGTGTATACAGACACCAATGGACATAGACAATAGATTTACAGATGTTTATGCACTACTGTAAACTGAAAACATAGAGGGCAAGTACATGTTCCCTGTAGCTAGCAGGGTCCCCCAGGGTGCAGGTGAATTGGGGAGTTTGTGCAGTGACACCTGCATAGCTACTAACCCAGGATCAGGAGGGATCAATCTATAGCTGGAATCAAAATTCAGAAGACTAAGCTAAGGTTTTGTCCTGGAAATGGGTTACCAGAGAAGCCAGTGGTAAATGTCCTAGGGGCATCCTTTTGCTAAGGAGAAGGCAGAGCGTCTTTGTTCACAGCATGGGACCGTTTTCCCGGTTTTAGCAGGGCAAAGATGTGACCAGGTGCTGGGTGCTGCTCCTGTTGCTAATCTGTGCAGACCAGGCACTGTGGCGTTGATGTGTGTGCGTAATAATAGTGCTTGGGGTATTTCTCACTACACGTCTACTCCTGTGTATTACTCCAATAATTCAGCTCTTTTTAAGTTAATACGCAGGTGGGTAATGATTTCTAGTTCCGGTGTACATGTTTTTTAAAATATAAAAGTATTCTTTAGCCCAGGAATAGGCACTTAGCTAGAGAGTGCAGTAAACAGGACATTGATTGATCTTTTCCTTATTGTATCCTGCTGGCTTCTAGCCATCCAGGGACTTTGCTTTAGATCATTTGGTTTATGTGGAAACGGACCTAAGATCCTAGCTAATCATGTGTAAACTGACTCTAGCTCCGCAGTATGCTGAGATAATTTACTTATTATTTTTGTTAATCTAAAAATCTTAATTTGTTGCCTGCTGATAACTTCAGTGGTTGTTCTCCAGTTCTTGTGTTACAGGGTTAAAAAGTAAAGAATAATAATGCACTATTAATCTACTGCATCAGCAGTTTGCATCTCAGATGCTATTGGCTCTTCCAAAGTAAAAAGTCTTAGCTCCTTGGTCACTCCTTGTCTGAAACCTCTTTGTTCTGTTAGTTCTGGTTGCCCTTCATTGTGTCTGTTCTGGTTCTGCTAAGTAGCTTGTGTAAGCAAATAGGTTTGCACAGTAGCATTGTGGCTGTGCGGCCTCCGGGTGGCTTTGAGTAGAGCTCTGGTTACCTTCCGTGTGCTGTAAGTGACCTTTCATTCAGGAGAGTTTAGCTTCTGAGCGCTTCAGTTCCCCAGCTTTCCAGCAGGATGTCCTGACCAATAGCCTTGCCAGCCTGGCTAATTGCTGCTGCAGATAGTAGCATGTTCAATGAGTGCAGCCCAAACAGTTCAGAGGATGTTGCAGGTAAGTGGTACTTGAACCAGGAGTGAACTATGAATCCAAAGAGGCAGAACTCCAAGTAGGCCGTACCCGAATTAACTCATGGAGTTACCTTGAGAATGACGTGGAAAAAAAATGCACTTAGAAGGAGGCATTGCAAGTGTAAAATGGTTAATAACATTCTCAGTACGGTACCTACTCTGTGGTGGGGCTGAGGTGCTTAAACGCTAGGAGTGCCCCAACATGGCCATGTGCTACTCAACTGCAGAGTCCTGCATGTTGGTCCCGTGCTGTTGGCAAGTCGGTGCTGTTCAGTTCTGTTCCCATGCACCATCAGGAGCATTGCCTTCCACCCTGTCCTTATCTTCGCTGGGTGACACTGTGTAGCCCTGAGTGCAGGGTGTTGTGAGGCTGAAAGGAGCAGGCTTCAACCATGGTCACAAGCAGCACCAGTGGTTCCACCATCTGATTCCTGTTTTTTGCCTCTCCAGGCTGGTCCTGGGCCCTTCTGAGCAGGCCTGGCCCCACGGGGGTCAGGGTGTGGGTGGTTTTCCCTGATAACTATCGTGCCCCTCAAAGGGCACTAGCAACCTGCAGGGACAGCAATGTGCACAGGTACCACTGCCCTCTCCCGAGGTGTAACAACAACTTGGTGAGATTGAAGGCTGCCTAAAGCAGCTGTGGGCTTGGTTTTGGAAGACAGACTTTGCTGGATGAATGATAGGAGAGGGAATGTGGGTTAGCTTTTTCTGAGGGCGATTCAGCCCAATAACTGAGAAGTTGAACATTATTATGACACTGTTGTTGCTAAAACATACTTCATATGTTCTTATAAAGGATATAATTTAACCTATTGCTTTGGCGTATTCAGATAAGTGACAAGACATATACATTTGAAATAGATGGCACTGTATGCAGTGTTGTATGGCAATATGAGCATTTTCAGTTCTAGTCTATGGCAGAGCTTCAGGGCTGTGTCGTGGCGCGTCATGTCTGCATGTACCTGGAGGTGGGAGAGCTGGAGTAAAAATTCATTTGCCTGGGAGAAAAGTGTGATGTGCAGCTAGGAGCCCAGCTTCCGTAAAGCCCGCAGCTGCAGAGCAAACTGCCCTCCGTGTCCATGCTTGCCAGGCTCTAATTCCCATCAACTTTTTCTTCTAGATTTCTTACTTTTTAAATTCTGTGCTATTTCAGCACATGCTTCTAGGATTGTTTCATAGTAACTTCAGGTCTTGCATAAAGGCATGCAGAAGACATCACCAAAATGTTTTTAAACGTGTGTGTGGGAGGGGTGTTTTTTTTTTTTTTTTGGTCAATACAGTTACACACAGGTTTCTGTTTGTTTCCATTCGTTTGTGCTACTAACATGACAGGCCTTGTGACATATATATTTTGCTCCTGTGGACCTGTATATGGATGCAATTATCCATGCTTTTGTTGTAACTTGTCTCATAATTTATCTATTTCTTTATATTTGGAACGTAGAGGTAAGGAGCCAGGAAGAGCCACCCTGTTCCTCTGGGGATGCATAAGGGACTAGTGCCTTTGTAAGGGTTCATGTGGGGACTAACTACAGATTCTCTCCCTTCAAATGGTAAATAGATTTGTAATGAGTTAAAAATGTCCTGTTTTTATTAAACTGCTGGGACTTGCGAAAAGAACCTCTATAAGAGGTCTCTTCACAACTATACAAAGTTGTATTTGGTGTAAAATATCAGTGGATAGAACTGTTGGTCTCAGTGTAAAATGTCAATCTATAAACTCAGTTTTGGAGAGAAAATTGAGGTTTAAAAGGGGTAGTAAATAGGACAGTTGCAAATGTAACTACCCTTCTTTTAAAATACTGTTGTTTTTCTTCTTTTAAAATACTGTTAACTGAGGAAAGTTTATGCTTTGCATTTTGCTTTAGATAACTTGGAGAATGGAGAGGGCCATGAAAGTGTTCTTGCAGTAGAACTGGTTCAAAGAAGATCTGATCTTCCTTACAGGTACGTCGAGTGTATTTTCTTAAAAGTTGGGGGAAAAAAAAACCCTTCACCCTAATAGCTACCAGCTTGTTATTACCTATCACAAAGACAGCATGTGCACTTAGCAGGGGAAGAGAAGTCATTAATCAGGCTCCTCTCACACGACTGCGCTTCCTTTTTTATATAATTTTCTTGTATATTGAACTTAATTTAGTCAAGCAGTCATGGCAAATAATATGCAGACATAGCCTCTAGGTTTTGAAAATAGATTTTATGTTGTTTTTATCATACTCCCTTATGGCTTTTTGATATGAATCTTTTTATGTATATCCTTAGATCAGACACACAACAAATACATTAAGGGATAATTAAATTTGAGTTGATTGAATATGGGTTGTTTTCTGTGTATAACTACATATTTGAATAGACAGTGACATTTTTGTTCTAGTTTCTGTAACTCTTGCTTAAATTCTTAGATTTAGGATTTTTTCAGTTGTGATGATATTTTTTTTCCTCCTTTAACTAGAATGGAAGTGAGTCCTCCTGCTCAAGTGAACAATTTAAGCAGCATGTTGCCTTCAGCCACTGTGCCCGAATCTATGACAATTAGTAAGTATTTTCTTGACATATTTAATGTACTTTTCAGAAATAGCTTTTCAAGTCCTATAACTTTTCTTACTGCTGTAGAAATAGAAATTAACCGTTCAGACAGGCACACAGCACTACATTTCTGATATGTTGGGCTACCATTAGGAATGACTACTCTAAAAGGTTTTTGAACTGGCAGATCCCAGGTTATACACATTATCTTTTCTTTCACACAGAACTGCTAGAAAAACCCTTGTGCTAGATGTGACTTTAGCAGATAAATGAAGAGTAATGATTTAATTTGATTAACATCTTCAAATCTCTGCAGGCTGTGAAAATGCTAATGGTAGGTTCTGATGCAATCCTAATTGTCTTTCCTACTTCTGTAGTGCCTAGGGAGAAAAAAAACACGCACAAAAAAAAACTATACAAAACTATGTGTGCTATTCTATGTATGCTCAGTCTGAGCTTTTGATATGGGGAAAAGTGTTCCAAGTATATACACGGGCCGTCGTAAACCAAACGGTTACCTAAGGGACGGTCCTATGTTCGGCTGTGTTAAGACTGGAAGGGAATTGGAAGAGATAAAAGAGGGTTTGTAGCAGGGTTGAGATTAGTAGGGTTATGGACAGTACATCTATCTCATTTTTAATCCTTTGTCGTCACGTGACCTTGCTGGGTGAAGAATTTATTGCTAACTGGACTAGCTATTAAGTATACAGGCCAGTGTGCTTTTAATTGTCTGCCTCTATGTAGAGCTTTGTAACTGAGCTGGTGGGTATGGCTGGAGTCCTGCGGCTCCAGGGTGGTGATGGGTCTGTGTGGGGGACCCTGTGTGTGTGTGTGTGTGTGTGTGTGAATAATTCCTAAATGATAACATTTAGGAAGCCAGAAATAATAGAGCCAAGCTTCATTTGTGAAGCAGTCTTATGAAATGATCTAAATGAATGAACAGTATGGTATTTTAGTCTCATGGTTCATTGGCGAGGTTGAGACACCATCTGACTTGGTCTTATTAACTACACTGTCACGTATCGTCAAATTATGTCCCCAGTTACATATCTTGAGGGAGGCAGAAAGCACCATGTATTTTCATTTGATTCTGCTTCATCTCTGGGGTTGATCTGCTGCAGGGGATTGCAAAGTGTTTTATAAAGGAGAAAACTATCTTGAGACATTTTAACATAAGAGAATCCGGTTAAGAGTGTTGGTGCAGCTACTGCTGGTCACTGTTGGTCACTGTGTATTCTCTGTTCGTGTTTTTGCTGTAATATCCTAAAGTTTTATGTACATTTCATTTCTTCAGTACTGGAATTTTAATAGGAAACTTCCTGAGTTTGTTGTCCCTGAACTCTTGTGGCAGCCCTCGTTTCACAGGAGTCTTGGGTACCAGCAGGGGCCGCAGTTGGTCTATTTCAGCTGCCCAGATAGTGTCTGCGTAGAGCTAAGGCAGCTCTAAAATACAAAGTAAATCTTGAGATGTTCCATTCCTGATGCTTATCATTTCCAGATGAAACAACACCCGGGATCAACAGAACGTTTCACGCTGGCATCAGTTTCCCGTTCCACTTGAGATGCTCTTGATGGGCAGGGTAGAGGGGGTGAAGCAGGTCAAAAAAAAGTTGTGAAGCCAGTAGAGCTTTTAGTAAATATTTGAACTGTCATTGCAATCCAGGTTGCTTGGTTATGCTTTATATGTTAATGCTTTTATAGCTGATGTTGCCAGAAATATTCAGTAAAAATGTTTTTGGGGGAACTGGTCATTACTGGTTGTAGGCTTTGTGAATTCAGTGTTGTGACGAAGCCACGCGCTGAAGCTCCTTCTCTCTGTTGCAATTAGTGGCGGAGTTTTTAAATGGTGAGGCTTATAGCTTGGTTGCATAGCAACTAATTTTAAAACATCAGACAAGAAAAATGGAATGGAGTGGTGCCGTGATAAAAGCAGTGAGGTCTCCAGTGGTTATGGATTTCTCTGCTTTGCACTGCTGAGGATAAAGCCTGAAATGAATTTTTTGGAACCTGTTCTTTTTCTGCTTCCTTTTCAATTCGATACTATAATACTAACCCTTTCTCAGTCGTTTTGACATGCAGGCATAAAAATGATATTTCCAGTATAATTTTCCTTAGTTTATTAATTTGGGCTTAACCACAAAGGGTAGCAAAGGTTATAGCATTGCACGTTATTCATTTCATAGTCCTTTTCATACGTTTCCAGGAAAGCCTTTGATTTTTTCACACCCATTGAAAGGCATACTCAATAATGAAGATACAGAACTGTGTTTTTATCCTGCCTGTGTAAGGAGGCAACCCTTGCATGTTCCCTTTCTGTCTTCCTCTAATGAGCTGCTGCGTGACTTGGTTGTCCCTGCTCATTGGGGAAGAGGTCTGAGAGATGCTAAGTTCCTGTGACTGCTCTGAAAGTCCGGCCGAGGGAAGGGCACGTATTAATTTTGACACTGAGATAAAATCTCCTGTTCATTTTATGTGCTCTGCTCTATAATGTAGACGACCGAGAGCATGTTGTTCTCTGCGGAAATCTTTTAATGGTGATGGGGCAGGATAGTATTTACACAGTATCAAAGCGCTAAAGCCAGGGTTCGTTCAGGTGGCTCTGGAAGCATTTCCCTAAAGGTCAGGCTTCTGATTTAGACTCAACTAATTAGCTTCACTAGCTGTTAGACACTCAAGATTAACTTCAACAATGGAAGTCAATTTTTAAAAAGTGAGATTTTAATCTGGGAAAAAAAATTGTTGTGCTTCATGAAGCTCTGATTATTGCTTAGATTTTAGGTGAAACTGATGTAAAATGCTGCTGCTTAATAATAGAAGTCTATATCTAACTGTTTGGGGTTTTTTTTCTTTTTTTTTTTTCTTGCATAGTTATTTTAATTACGACAAATAAATGTTTGACTTCAGATTTCCTGTGGATGGAGATGTTAAAGAAGTGTTGATAAATAGTATAATTTTTCTCTTTGAGAGAGAGAGAGTGCTGCCCCTTAATATTCATAACTTAAGGTATGTATAGTAGGGAATCAGCATTGCTCTCCATAGTACTGGGCTGAATCAATAGGTAGTGGAGCCAGCACAGGCTGCTCAGGCTTGTTGGAGGCCTTGTTTCTTAGCCTGTGTTCGTTGCCTCTGTCGATCCTTCCTTCTGTACCTTCCCTCTCAGTTTAACTAAATTACTAGCTTTTTTGTAAGAAATACTGTAAATGAGTGTGTTTGCTTTTGTGATCCCAAATTAAACATTGAATTTTGTTCCTATTTGTGTGATAATGACATTTGCAAGTATTGCAAATTGAAGTATTGCTGTCTATCTACAGTACTGCCAAGTCCATGGCTTCCAGAAGAAATGAGACAAATGTAAATAAAAAGCTTTTGGCATCTTTTATTCCAAAAGACTCTTTTTCTTCTCTTTTTGTGCAATCCACGGTCTGTGGCAGAAACTCGTTTTCATGCCCTGCTTATGTGTGTGCTGGAGAAGGGAGCGACAGAAGATGGGATTTCAACTGTCTATTCATGCAGAAGATTCTGGGTGGAATAAGGGAAAGAAGATTAAGTTATTAGGCAAGTTAAGGTTACAATTTGAATAGACTGGTACAATTGGAAAACTGGAGACAATTTATAATAGCTTAACAGTCAATTAAATGGTAATAGATGAGTACATGTTTAAACAGCCTCAGCGTGCGTACAGCCAGCAGCTGTGGAGCAGTCAGCCCAGGAACTCGTGTGAGGAGCAGAGGCTTTAAGTTATTCAGAGTCAGAGAAACGATAGCAACTTGCTCTGAGTGCAGCATGATCATATTTTAATGGCACTCCTGAAATATTGACAACGCTCTTGGTCGGGTGCTCTCCTGAGGAGCCTTCCGGATTCCTCAGTGCAGTTTCCTCAATTGCAGATGGGCTGAGGTTGGAAGGGGCCCTTGGGGATCATCTTGTTCAGCCTCCCAGCAGGGCTACCTAAACCAGCTTGGCCAGTGCTGTGTCGAGGTGACTTCAGGGTGTCTCCAAGGCTGGAGACTCCACCACGTCCCTGTGCAGCCCATTCCGGGGCTCCGTCACCCTCCCAGGAATGTTTTTCCTTATGTTCAGACAGACCTTCCTGTGTTGCAGGCAGTGCCAGTCACTGAGCACCACTGCAAAGAGTCCACCCCATCCTATTTACACCCTCTCTTCAGGTAATTAAACACATTATAAGATTTCCCCTCAGTCTTCTGGATTGATAGTTAAAGATCTTTAAAATTAAAGTGTTATTCTGCTGGAAGTTTATTAAGAATGGATTTTGCCTGTTTATGCACAAAGTGTAATTTAGGTTTAGGTCTGTTAAAATCCACCACTTTTCCACTGTGGTGCTGGGGCTCCTTTTCAAACGCTCCCCACAAAATGGCAGTGTCTTGCCATGAGGAAAAGATAATTAATGGTGTGTTTGGATTTTGTAATTGCCAAGATTGAGAATGTAATGCTCAAGTCTCAGAATGTACAGTGTGTTTCTCTCCTCCTCTTTTGCCCCCCACATAACTACCAGTAAGTTGAAGCTATTAGGAGCTAGCTTTTGAAAAACAGCCATAGTTTGTCATATGCAATCTTTCAGCTTGAATTTTTTTTTCCTATAGTTGCTACTTAAATAGCGATGGTTACCTGATCATAATGCAATTTTCACCCTATTCCTACCCAAAAGGTTTTTTCCTCACCTTTAGGGATGATGAGATGGGCTGGAACGACCCTTTTGTGGAGAGCCTTAGGAAGACAGATTAAAGAAGTTAATAGTCTCAGCTTTGGTTAAGAATGCAAATAATATTATGGTAGGAGAAAGCAAGAGCGTCCAGAAAACTTGGTGGTATTTTAATGTCAGTATTTAATACACCCACACTTCCCTTTTGGCTTTCCTACAAGATTTAGCCTCTGTCGTTTGGATGGCTTTATGGAGAACCTTTATAAAGATGCTCAATTGCTGTGCAAGGAAAATTACCCCTTCTGTGTTGAATTAATGGAGTGCAAAATGCCTCTAATAACCCACTGAAATATTTCTTGCCAATGTCTACTACTTCTCACGCTGTAATATGGAATGACTAGAAAAATAATTGTCCTCTTTGTGCATGACCAAGGAATCAGAAATAGTTTGAAAAAAGCTACCAACAAAAGCAAATAGGAATGGCTGATCTCAAGTGACATGAGACCCCTTCAGAGCAAGAGGTAAAGGACCAGGTTGACAACTGCTGACTTTAACTGTGGTGTCTGAATGGATGGATAGCTTGAACCACTTGATTTTTGTCTGCTATTAGAGATGGGCAGGTATCATCTGCTCCTTGCTACAAACCTAACCTTTCTGAAAAGGCAACATTACCTATAACCGTAGAGAAGGTAAAGAAAGATACTATTCAACTGCTGAGCTGAATGTAGAAAGAACAAAGTTGTTTGTCAGCTTTGCTTGAATAAATTAAGTGAAACCAGTTCTATTGGTTTAGCTAAAGTAAAAGTATGAAAAAAATTGCTGACATCTGCTTTGAATACTGTCAGAAAAGAGTTGGCAGATTTATTATATTTATAAGCATAGCGTCATTTTATTTGACTTTTGGGAGGGATGTTTTAATATAACTCCCTGCTCTCATAAAATTATTGATGAAGTTTAAGTGAAATTATTAATAAAGATTTCAAAACCAGTCATGTTTAGAACACGTCCTGATGTTTGCTGGAAGATTTGTGAAAGATCTGTGCAACTGAAGGTCTTACTTCTTCCAAGATCATTAACATTTTTTCATTCTTGATGGAATGACAAAAGGTCAGATCCTACAAATACCTTCATAAAGGAAATAACACAGTTATATGTTTGTTGCCACATCAGGTGGAAGACCTCTAATTTAGATGCCTCGTTATATCTTTTTCCCTAGGGTGAAGCATGATTGTAAAAGGTAGCAATTTTAGTTATTATTTTGTTTATATCTGTATTTACTGTTTAGCTGTGGTCCTCAGTCCTTCTGTTCAAGGACTGTAGGACTGAACTGTAGCCTGTAGTGTGTGTGTGTGGTTTTGTTGTGTGTGTGTGGGTTTTTTTCTTTTAATCTTCAGACTTGCTCTGTTTTCTAGAATTGAGTGATTTGTTGCGTTCTTTTTCTGTGACTTCATCTAACATTCTGTTCCCAGCAGATGTTTTCACTTTCTGGACTTAGTTATTTTTCTGAACAAAAACAAACAAAACAGCATTATTTAAGCTTGCTTTGAAAATGAATTGTAGAAACACTTCAGTGTTGGAGATGGGGAAAAAATTTGTTTTTCAACTTCTCAGACAGAAGTTGGTAGTTGAATATTTTTCATTGTGAATATAATGTTTTAATTACATCTGGATATTTATACACTTATATGTAATATGAAAGCTGTTTTATATGCACTTTTAATAAAGTTTTTTTTTTTTTTCTTACATGGTGCAGAGTAACTAGAGTTGTATGAATGGTTTCTGAATTCAGCATGTGTACTGGAGTGTTGAAGAAATAAATTGCCTCTAGTTTAGTATTTCTTAGTAACAATGCAAATTATATCCTAAAGTATGCCTAAATGATAGATTTAAAGTTCCTGAGTCATGTTTGTCTCCTTTTATTGTCTTCAGAATATTCTTGTTTAGTTAAATTGCAGAAAATCTCTCTTTAAGACATTAGACTAAGCAAGAAGGGAAATTCCATGAAAAGGCAGTGCCTGGTCCCACTGTAGTAGTTGAATTAAAACCAGATGCAAACTGATTTAATTTAATGAGTCCTCCTGATACCATTGTTGTACCATGAGATAAATACAGCTGTTGAAACATTGCTTAAATTAATGACATTACAAGTGTTTTTAGGTGCTTTGCTGAATAGAAAGTGGTATTTGCATCATTTCAGATGTGTTGCTGAATTGGTGTCACTATACAGGACTGTTAGATCTGAAACTAGCAGTAGTGCTCATCGGGGGAAAAAAAAAATTGTTGTCTGTTCTCTTTAGATGAGCTTCGACAGGCTATCGTGGCCATGATGAATAGAAAGGATGAATTAGAAGAACAGAACAGGTAACTTCTTGTTGTGGCTGTTGTCATTGAGAGGCACTGTATAATTTCAAAGATCTGTTGTGTCACGTAGCCTCTCTAATACAAGCTCCCCTTTGTGAAGAGCTGTGATTGTGATCTTTTTCATGTCCGTGTTATTTTTCTGAGAAAGGTAACTCACTACCTCAATATTCAACCGTAGATACGAAAGAGTAATGTTTGCAGGCTGCCTTTCCCTTTGTGTTTAAATCACGCATAACTGTTTGTCCTTGAGGTCTTCTGCCAGACATTTTTTTTTTTTTTTTAAAGCAAAACTTTTACCTAGAAGAGGCTTAAGACAGCTTTTTGAATGAATGCAAATTTGTCTTTTGCAAATGTTCAGAAATGATTCTTTATTTTACTGTTCTGGTGCAGAAATGATGCAAGTGCACTACAAATCAGCTGAGATACTACACTGAAAGTGGCTGTCGTTTGTGAATGTATGTTCATTTGGGGCAATGCAGTGGTGCATACAGTCATTTCTTTAGATTGCTAACAAACCTACTTCATATTTATTTAATATATTTGGGGCACATGATTAGAAGAATGAAAACATGAATCTCTTCAAAACATGTACTGAGCTTATACTAAGAGTGCTTTTTAACACTTCATGAAAATCATGAAGCTTTTCATGTTTGTTTCTTATTTTTCTTAAGTGTGGGTCATACCAACTGATGCTGTTTTCCTGCCTCTTAGCTCCCAGCTCCCATGATTGACAGTTACAGCCCAATTCTGGTTTTGTTTGTTTGGCAGAAGGACCAGGTTGCTTGGGGTGTTGGTGTTGCACCTCATGGTAACCTTTGCTAGTTGACCAAAGGGATCCCTGACCTTGCTTTTAGTAGAGACAGTCTCTACTGTCTCCTGCTCTGGCTGATAAACAAGCTGCTTACAGGTTGTTCTTGAAATGTAAGAATGATTCTGTCATTTGACCTGAAGCAGTGAAAGCAGATTATAATCTGCTTTCCATAGCGGTGATTCCTTGTTGCAGTTGGGATACAGCATACATAACTGGTTGTGTTTTGGGCACGTTGATGAGGTTGTATTAAAAATTAGAAGTATTCACTGTTTCACTCTAAAGCTGTATTTGAATGATTTTTCATATGTTTGTATAATCAAATCAGGTGTATATGTTGAGTAATGAAACTTTAGGATGACGTTAATAGTATAATTCAGACAATCTACTTGGAGATTTGTAGAGTACCCTCTAATTACTGGGTGGCATTTGCAGTGGCCTAACAGACACTGCTGCCTTTTCCAGATCGCTGAGGAACTTGCTCGACGGGGAGATGGAGCATTCGGCTGCACTGAGGCAGGAAATGGAGAACTGGAGAAGGAAGGTTGCAGAGCAGGAGGAGCGACATGCCACCAAAGTCCAAGCTTTGGCCAGGTGAGAGGCTCAGAAATGGGCACAACAGGTAACAGCAGAGGAAGAGGGCAAAAAGAAAACCTGTATGCAAGACAAAAGATGTGATTTTCAAGTAGCTTTCAGGAGTCTTAAATGATTTATGTTTTAAAATTTCATTAACTTTTGCTTGGATTTTGTCTTAATTTCTAGAAGATTTTTAAATGACTGACAAGTATATTGTCTTTGTATTTTTGTTTAAGTATTAGCAATAATTGAGAGTTAAAATATTAGAAAAGTCGTTGTTCCAAAGGAAAGAATATATATTAGTCAGCAGAAGTTAGAACAACATAAAGGTTAAATTATAAAAAGTACTTAGAAGACTTAGCAATGCAAACAGCAAAATAAGTAGTGGGAAATAAGTAAGGGAAACAAGTAGTGAGACTAGAAATGAAGCGTGTGTGTGAGATGAAAGTAAGAAGGACTTTTCCCTCTTCATCTAGCTCCAATTTATCCAGTTTTAACTGCCCCCTCCCCGCTTTTTTTATTTTAGTTGGTGTATAAGAGATTCCCAGGAGAAGTCTGCTCAGTCTGGAACAAATACCAGTACCAGAGTCCCAGATATCGGGAAGCACTAAGTGATGTTTTCCTGTCACTATTTGTATGGTTTCAGAGAGGAGGGCATGGCTTAAAGCTGTAGAGCAGCAACTTTGATTGCAGGAAATGAGCATATGATGCATGTATTTCTCAGCCCAAAAAGAAAGAGATCGCTTGTGTGATCAGGTTTCAAACCTGATATCTAATGCAATTCAGCAGATATGCTGAAAGAAGAGAATTTTAAACCCCTTTCAAGCTAAATTCCTTAAAAGTAGATGCAAAAGAATAATTTAGCTAGGTGCTGCTGTAATGGCCTGATTTTCTTGTGCTTGCAACACTAAAATAACTATAAACTGTAGTGTAGCCAGTGATGCCTAACATTTTGGGGATGATTCACATCTATAGTAGAGAACAAACCTATTCCAAGTGTTAAATAAGGCTAGTAATGAGCAATGTGTTTGTCTTATCCCCAGGAGGTGGGTTTGTTGTGTACATACCCAGGCACTGTGCTTAGGGTTCCTCATGGGGAGCTACCACCACTGAGATGCTTATAAGCTCTGGATGGCAGAACTAGGCTCAAAAAACAGCAAATAGGAAAGTTTCTTTTTAAAAAATATGTATTTGAGGTGCTGCTAACTCTGCTTTTGATGACACATCAAACCTAACTAGTCATGTTGGGGGAGAGATGTGTAAATGGGTTTGACATGCAGAAGAGGTACAGCAATGGGGGCAATGCAAATATTTTATTGTTTAATATTCACTTTTTAGGTAGCAGGACTTGAATATTCATACTTCTTTTGACTCACTTCCCCCCACAGTTTTAGAATTTGCATTGATATGGATGAATCAGATATGTCACGCACATACTCATTTAAAGAAGAGATAAAGAGCTTCTATTGCATGATCTAAAGACACAGTTACTTAAACTAACATATGATCTGTTTTTCTGTTGTTGATGGGTTTCTTTAATTTCTGTTATGAGGTAGATCAGGTATGTTGTGTTGAGTGTTTTTCTGAAAGTCAGTTTAACCTGTCACCTGATAAAAGCAGTGCTGGTGGATGCTTACATGCCCCACGTTCCTGTGACACCAGTTATTTTGGAGGTTGGATGCATTAAGGATTCATTACAACCCTTTTTTTTTTTTCTAATACCCAAGGGACTTTGCAGGCAGTTATTTCAGGGCTCAGAGTTTTTCTATTAAAATCTTTTCATTGGTTCACTTGTAAGTTACTGATGATGCTACTGCAATATTGGGATTAGTCAAGAATTTTGATTAGAAGTATTTTAAGCTCAGAATTTGGAAAAATGAATTGTTTTGTTATTGGAAGAAGTCAACCTGAAATAACAGAAAACGTGGAGTTGCTTTGGAAGCAACACATCAATAGGAGGAAGCTAAATTTCAGGTATTTTGAAATAGTGAAATTCTTACTGTTGATCTTGAGAATAGCTAAACATGTCAAGAATAGAAAAACTTCATAACTGAGCATTTTAGGGCAAGAAAAATAATTTAATAACAGTTTGACTTTTGTAGTTTGGTTTCAGATTACCTAATATTTACAGTTTAATATACCCCATTTTTAAGGGCCTTTGTGGCAAGTTTGTCATAAATATCTTAAAGTTTTGAGAGCTTTTTCCTCCTGCCCCTGCTAGAAGGGAGAAGAGAGAACAGAGCATTGGCTGCTTATTGAGATCAGAGGCTGCTCTAACTGTACATTTTGCAGTTTTTTTTTTTTTTCTTCTTCTTTGGATGTGTTGGAATTTAAAAATATTGTTCATTTGGTGAAATGTCCCAACCCAACCCCCTGCTTTTTACATGTTCTCTTATATTATTGCATATCACTGGAGTTCTATGCAGCTACCTCTGAATAAACAGTGTTGGATAATAGATTAATATCAAATCCAAAAATGATGCAGTTTAAGTAGTATATACACTTGGTTAGAGGAGGCGTAGTATATTAGATTACAGAAGTGTATTGAATTACAGAATAAATGGAGAAATTCATGTTCTGCACCTTGAAATGGCTGCATCACTTAAGCAACTTCTTACGGGGGAAATGGAAGAAAGCAATATGTTGCCCTGTTTCTTAAGAACTATTATTAGTTCTTTCTTTGTTCAGTGATATTTTTTTTCCGTGTGCTTAGTTGGTGACATGCCATAAGTGATGAGATCTGCTTTTAAAAAGGTGTAATGTTTTAATTCATAATCTTAACTGCAGAGATGTGTTTTGCTTTTTCAGATGTGATCCCACTGCTAAAAGTGTTCTGGAAGAAAAACAAAATGTTATAGTAGGGAAGAACTTCTCTCCTCAGTCTTTTTCTTCCTCAGATCATATCACAGACCTGAACACAGTTGATGTTATGAATCTTCTGTGAGAATAGGGTTGCACTTTATTATGCATATGCTGTTTGGCTTTCATGACAAGCAGTTTATCACATTTTGCCTCTTTACAGGGTGGATTTTTGTTTATTTGCTTGTTTTTAATTACATGTAGTTCAACTTCCACTTCTGTTTGTAATACTAATTATGCTTCAAGTTTCATTTATGTTTTGCACGCAGTCTTAGCTGTTTTTTCATAACAGTTATTTGTAATCCCACTCATAGGATAAATCCAGCTGAAAGGAATCTCAGGAGGTCTGACATCCTCATGTAGACCAGATCCTCCTGCAGTAAATTCTTTCATTTCATTCTTAGGATTCATGCAATTTGTTTCTTTAGAGACCTGGTACCTGTATAGAGTTTAAAAAATGAGATTTTTAAGAAGAAAGCATCATCTATTGGATTTGTTTAGAAGACAGATGTATGTTTTCAGAATACACAAAATATTTGTTAACATCTGGTGCTAGGGCCAGAAATTTAATTATGTTGTTCTTCAAGCCAGTATATTTGAGATGCATGACAAATCACTTTTTCAAATTCTTTCCTTGAAATGTTCATTTAACAGAAACCCTGAAGCAATTTTCTGTTCTTTTGCAGGAAACAGTTGTTTTCTCTTACTGTTGAGGTATAGGAAAATGAATTTTTACCAAACTGTGTGTATGGGTCCACGTGTGTGACCTCGTAGGTACCAAACAGGGGTGTGCGTGTGTGCACAGGCACACACAGCTCCGTGTAACTCCTCATCACAGAAATCTTGGGGTCATTACTGAGAATTCACCAGCCCCTTCTGCTGCTCGAGGGAGCCTCGGGGGCTTCCTCCTTTTCCAGGGTGCTGGCAGAATTCCCGGGAAGGAGGCTGATCCATGGCCATGCCGTGTGCGAGGACGGCCGCTCTCTGCGCGCTGCCGCGAGAACGAGATGCTTGGCAGCCCCTTGCATTAATCCTGTTAACAGGAGAGGAACCCTAGGGAACACTTGCTATTTTTCCTAGCACAAATTACATGTCAGTGAGCAAATGCATTGGATCAGTAACGATACCCGCTGTCTTTTCAGACATTATGTACACAAAGTCAGGTATACTCTTCCCAAAATGTTGACTTTTCTATATCGTTCTAACATCATTCGTAGAGTAGTTTTGGCTTTACTGGCTCATTCCTCTTCATTTGAGTTAGGCTTGCAGAAAAGATGGTACATATGAATCTATTTTTGTTGCCAAGGTACTCCCTGGCACTGTATAGCTTTTGAACAGTTTAAGAATATTTTCAATGAAACTGTTTTTGCATTAGCATGCTTTTTTTTCTTTTTGGCTGATAAAAGTGACTATTGCTGCTGAAAATTAAACCTTTTAGTAGAACTATTTCACTTACTCCTGTTTCAAAAACTATTATCTTACCCCTGTACCTCAGTAATGCCAGGCAGGAACTGCTGCACAGACAAGTCTTTTGCTGTACAAACGTATATATCATCTTAACCAAGTTTATTGGGTGTTTTTTCTTTTTTCTGACCTTGGTTTCAGTACGGGAATTTAGTGGGTTTAAGGTATTTCCTATAATTTGTTTATAAATATACTGGTTTCAGGAGAATTTTCAAATAATCTGATGTAGAAGAAATTCATAATGAATATTAATGGCTGCTATTTACATCTCGAGAGCTTTATCAAATAGATAGTATTACGCATGTATCGCTGTCTGGGTTTTAATGCTTTTGATTCTCTGTTTGTTATTGTGTACTTATTCATGAGGATAATTAGAGTTGTATATTTTCCTCTGTTTTTAAGCAAAAATACTGTTAATAGCTGATAGGGGGTACACACATAATCTTGAAGTATTTTAATATATCGTCAAGAAAAGAGTAAAAGCAAAAGGATAACTTAAACTGCAAAGTCTTAGGCAATTTCATGCTTAGGTGCAGCAGAATATGGCTTACTCTGCTAAATAGTTGACCCCTGCTGCATTAGCCTCTCAGTAGTTTACTGCAACTTCTCAAAATAAAGAGTTGCTTTGAATAGTCACAAAACTATTGAGAGATTTCCACAGTCTTTGCTTTGTTTAAATTTCAAGCTGTTACCATCCTTTCGTAACAAAATCCTGAAATCCAAACTAAGGTTCTCAGTGTTGCTGGGTGGAGCTGTGATGGTGGCAGGTTTGAATGCTGTTTTCATTGGCTTGGCTTGTGGAAAGCTGTTGCCTTCAATATTGTTGTCAAATAAAGCTGATCTTCTCTGGCAATGATAAAGTCAATTTCCAGAGCTGGGTTTTTCTTTTCTTGGCATTAAATACTTCAACAACTAGTGAAATAATTACTGAGTCTTAAACTGGTCAGGTAATTTCTTTATTTAGTATTTTATCATTACTTTTTAATCAACTTTCGGTTTAGACCTGCCCTCTATCAACATGACGTAGTATATAAAATCTAAACTAAGCAATTTATCCCATAATTCAAAGCTTTATAATATCTGTTGCCCTGGATGGTTATGTGACCCTAAAAATTGCTTTTCCTTTTAGCCTCTTGTTAACATTTAATTTAATGTGTATGTAATGATTTATCCTTTAGAAGACACAACGTAGATAGAGCTTGTGATCACAGATAGCATTTTTGTTTGCACGGAGACAGGCCGCCTTCTCTTATTTTGAGAAAAGACTAATTTTTCCTCATACTGTTCTTCTTATCAACAGAGAAAATGAGGTACTTAAAGTGCAGCTTAAGAAGTATGTAGGAGCTGTCCAGATGCTTAGAAGAGAAGGTCAAACAATAGAAGGTAAGGATGAAATGGAGGAAAAAAGAAATCCATGCACAGCTTTTCTCTTTCTACAAGCTACCACTGAGACAGTCTTTAGTAGCCAAATGATGGAAGTGACTCTGGGAGTTGTATAAAATGTGGCAGTAGAAGAATAACTAGTGAATAGCCAAATCTCTGGTCTGACTTACAGGAACCTGCGTGGTTTCTTTTTTTTTTTCTGCATTGTTTCTTTCTGACTTTCTTTTTTTTAATGTATTTTTTTAATTGATTTTTCTTTTCTGATCAGACTTTTAGGAAGACTTTTTAGGAAGCTTATTGTTTTCAATAATGCATTTTCCATGAAGGAGCTAGCATTGAAAATTTCATTTAAAAAATGATCTTTCAATTAAGATGATATTGGATCGTTAAGAGTAATTATGTTGAGGAGATGAAACTTAGCATGTTTGGTGCATGCTATTAGTGCTATTTTGAAGATGCATATTCATAGACTCTGCATGAAATACACTTTTTTTTTTTAAGACCAAACACTTCACTACACTTTGCAGAAGCGCTTGGAATCTAATGAGCAAACTTGGCATCCTAAATTTGCAGTTAAGTGATGGGCTGGTCTCTGCATTTCCTCTGAGGCCTGGGAGATAGAAGTCCTTGTGGCCAGAGCTCTGGTTTTGTACTGCTGCTGGGGGTGCCTGTATCCTCGCTGGTGACACAAGGAGATTTGAGGGACTAGGTGGCATTTGAGAAATTAGCACAGTCTTTTCTAGAATCGTCCATGTTGCGGTCTGATAGATGGCCTAAGAGCAGGCATTAGTTCTGCCCTTAAGTGCAAGTCACTGTACCAAGCTGTAGCTGAGAAACTTCATCCTTGAGAAGGGTTGTTGGCAAATAAGGCACAAGGCTGTAGGCTGCTGTCTGCTCCTCCGGCTTGAAGTCACCTGTCGCTGTTCTCTCATAGTCACAGCTAGCAAGATCTAAATAGAGTTAATTCCTTAGCCTGCTTAGGGATTTAAATGTGTTATGATTTATTCAGTGACCATAGGATTTCTGTGTCAGCTCAGTCTCTTTAGAATTTGATTATATTGTAAAACAAACAAAAAACCAAAAGGAACAAAACCCCCCAGCTTATTCATAGAGTTGGCAAATGGGATCCAAGCAGAAAAGCATCTTCTGGGAGAGGTAAAATGGATGGTGTAATTTCCAAGTTAATCTTTGCAGCATTTGGGTTATTGTTTTTGTTTCAAGTTCAGGGTTTAGGTTCAGTGGTTTGCTGGAACATTTGGCATTTTCTGTGTTTGAACTGTTGGTGATCACTGAAAGAATCTCTTCCATGCATTCCTCTGTGTGAGCCGCTCCTAAATTGGCCCGTGTGCCTTGCTGAAGGCGATCCCGATTATCGGAATGTGTTGATTAGCTTGTATGAGCATTTATCTATACGTCTTGCAGTGGTAGAATTCTGCAATTAACAGTAACAAAAACCCCATGTTATTTAAAGAAGGAGAAAACATGAAAAAAAGCTTTTGCATTAACAAACAAAAAAGCCCTGCTAGTAAGGTTGTAATTTGTGAATGTGAATTTGTTACACGTTCCCCTCATTCATAAGGTTGTGGGTTTTTTTTGTTTGTTTTTAACAGATTTATAGAAACTAAGTGCATCTATGGTTTAAGTACTGAAGTATTGAATTTTAGTTATTGAATTCTAGTTATGTATAGCTAAAAGGGAGCAGAATGCAAATCAAGGTCGTTTAATTCTTACTTAGCTTCCATGCATGAAAGGTTGACAGTATGTGTGTGCAAGAACCATCTTATTACCATATTCTGAAACCTTGATCATTTTGGAGAGTCAGCAGTTTGAAGGACTACTATCTTTTTGTCATCTTAAGTTAAAATTCTTAACTTTCTTGCATATTAATTTTTTTGCTTCTAGATTAAGGTTAATAAGGTTGCTGTGTAGGCTTCTAACTCATCTTAATTAAGGACTAGGACTAGGCGGTCTGTTCTTTAAACCTGTAGGCTTCCTAGCTCTCATCTTGTGCTGTCTTCATCAGGGATGCTAAAACTTGCGTCTGGCTAATTTCATTGCTCCCCTACATTATCATCATGAGTAATTTCAGTGCTGCTTTATCTGCTTCCTAATAATATGTGAACAAAAGTCTTGTTAAGTGGATTGTAGATTTTGGAAAGCTTTGATAGGTTCAAAATAAATTAAACTTCTACGGGTATCTTTGTGGTGTTGTAACTGGAAGAGAATCTACATGGTCACTGTAGTAATTCGGATGAAATGCTTTTGGGTAGAGCTTTTAACTAGTTTCCCCAAATTATAAATTAATTTCAGAGTAATAGTTTGCCTTGAGGTAACTTAAAAAGACAAAAAAAAATACTTGGCAAATGTGATTCTAAATGAATCTCCCAAGCTAAATATTAGCTTTTAAAATGAGTGATTAGTGCCATAGACTGAAGAGTTGGATTTTCATATTTGGATGTTTAATAAATGGGCATCCTAATTTCTTAACCACCAGAGGATTGGATGTATATCATTTTTCAAAGCTCCTTAGGCACAGTAATTCGAAACCATTTTTACCTAAGGACGTGTTTGCTAGCTTGTCCAAATAGACTTCTGAATAACCTTCCCAAGAAAGTTTGGCAAAACTTATTTGGATTTTTTTTTTTTATATAAAGTTTTTTTTTTTTTTTTTTTTTTTTTTTTTTTTTTTTTTTTTTAAGCTAAAGGTTGTATTTTTCTTTTAGCTCCTTGTTCATAGGCATTTCTCTTGAGGATGTCTTTCAACCCATTAAATGTCTGATTGCAGCTCCTGGAGTAAGCATAGAAATAACTCCTCATTTTTAGTAGTAAGCAAGTATTAAAAACACTATTATTAACTCATGATTAATTAATTAAAATATTCACAGAAGGGTTATAGAGAGATTTAAAAGAACTTGAAGTAACGAGAGATGCACTTGGGGAACGTTATTTTTCTCTCCTTTTAGAAAGCCTTGTTCAAAGTCTGAGTTCCAAGCAAGTCTCTTCACTACGAGTCATACAAGAACCAGGTTAAAAATCAAAGGTGGTTTTTGAGGATGGCAGACCTTTGCAACCTAGGTAGAAAGTTGTCATATTTACTACCTTTTAAAGTTCTTGAAAGAAGGAAGTAATTAAAATGCTGGGACTATCTTGTCCTGCATAAGAAGGACATACAAAAATGTTTGTACAGGTAAAATTAATGCCATGTGGTCTCTAAGGGCCTTGCACTGGGGAACTCATTTTCTAACATTGTTTGTGTAGGTGTTTTCATTGTGGGTTCATTCTTGGATAGAAAAATTGGTCACAAAGATGCTAAAATCTATTCATGTCAAATAAAATTGGATATGAATGATTTATGAATATTCCTCTTTTTCTGTGGTCTTGATTTATTTAAAAGGAATATTATCTTTGAGCACAATGGTTGATTTATTTATTTCTTCCCTTCATGAACTCAGATGTGGCTGTTAAATCTGCCTATTAAAACTGATTAATCTATATTGGCTTTTCAAAATAACAGCAGCAGGGATATGCCTAAAATACTTGTGGAGCTGAAGAAACCTGTTTCCCCTCCCCTAGGTGAAGCTAAGCATGGTACTTTTGTAGAAAAACATACCCTGGTCACAGAAGTAAGATGCTCTCTGTGGTTTAATGCCTTTGTTTTTCTTTTCTTTATGTTTTTAAGCAGTGTAAGCATGGCAGCACTTCAAGATTTCACCACCAACCTGAGTTACTACTAGTGCAAATAAGTGATGTCTGGAAAAATGGAAATATTTTTGCTGCTAGCTGTTTTCTTTCTGAAGTTTCATGTGATGAACAAAAAATAATTAGGAAGTGATAACTTGTTTTAAAAGCAAAATTTTAAATTAAAAGTGGTAGTGATCATCATAAGTGCAAAAGGACACTGAGCGAATTGGCCACTAATATGAGTTGGGAGTTGTAGGCACACAGCAGCATGCAAGTAATATTGTGTTTGCAGGAAAGCAGGAAGAGCTTGCTTTTGAAATCACAGTCCAATGAAATAATAAAATTAATCTTGAAGTTTTCAATACCATCTGTTATGTTTCTTCCGTATGGCAAAAACTGTTTCAACTAGCAGAGTTTTATTTTCATATGGGACCTTTAGTAAGTCTCGTTATGCTGTGTTAATAGCGGAAGCATTTTAGAAAGAAAAAATCTCTTTAAAATGATGCGTCTTTATTGTTGTAGTGAGTTATTGTCATTCTACAGAAATTCTCCTCATATCCCGCATTGGGTTATGAGATTTCTAGTAGATGAACTACTGAAATGGTCCCTGGTTTTGGGCAGACAAAATTCTGCCCCTGCATTGAAAGCAAATTCTTCCTTTTATGTTGGCATCAAAAATAGGACTAGAAAATACTTGTGTTACTTTTAAGAAGTGAACGTGCTAGAAAAAGCTAGACCAGGAAAGCATCCTTTAATGAGCGGGCTCCAACCAAGGGCCTAATTGAAGTGTGGAGCCAAGAGCTGCTAGAATCTGACCAAAAGATGCAGATAAGTTAGACCCGCAGGGGATGGGGAAAAAAAAAAAAAAAAAAATTCAGTTAAACTGAACTTAAAGTTCAGATTGTATTCAGGAATTTCATAAAGTGAAGCCACTTGATAGTCTGTAAAGTTAGCTGTTTAAGGATTACTCCATTCCTGTATAGAGTGGTTTAACCAGCTCAGTGTGTCAGCACTGATTTCTGTGCCCCCCCCCCCCCTTTTTTTTTTAAAAAAAAAAAAAAAAAAAAAAAAAATTAATGGCATATTTCTTAATCGAAGCATGCCATAGACACTAAATAATAAAATTAAGTTGTGTCTATTATATATTTGGAGCAGAGCTCATTTATTGGTAGAACTCCGATGCTTTTCCTCTCAATTGCAAAGCTGTTGCAGGATGATTAACAGTGAAACTTAATGAAGCTCCTGCTGCACCAGGAGCATCTGGATACTTGGCATAACTGGCCGCTAGCCATTTTTTGTATGAATTTTAGGGTTTACAGAATGGAAATGTTGATTGCTCTCCAGTCGTCCCGTTTCCTTGGAGCCCGTATTCCTTTTTGCATGCAGGTGATGGGGCAGAGGGGGAAGTGTTATCTTCGTTTGCAAGAAACTTTTGGTGCCTTCTAATGGAGCATGTTACAGACAGCAGTCTGCAATGCTTTTTTATATTGGGATGTGAATTAACATAAAAATACTTTAATGAAAATATTTATGTGTGTGTGGACACAACAATCCCCAACTTGAGCACTTCCTTATGCTCTTTCTCCCTTTTTCTTTCTTTCCCCTTTTCTTTCTACTTGTTTAAAAAGCAGGCATCCCATAGGATGTGGATCGAGATTTTACAAATCAATGAATGCATTTGTTAAGCTGCTCTTTCATTAGGGCTTATTTACTTTATATCTTCTAATTTGTTTCTCTAGAACAAATAGATTTTCTGTCTGTGAATTGAGTTTGTGTAATCCGGGGAAGAAGAGACTTGGAACGGGCCTTACAGCCATCTGTAAGAGGTGGACAGGAAGAGAAGAAACAGTGTTTGATCAGAAAAGAAGTAATGGGCTTTCGTGACAGGTGAAGAAGTTTGATTAGCTGCTAGGAAAGTCTTTCTGGGAAGAATACTTAAACTTAGATTGTGCAGGAAAGCATGAAATCTTCATGACTGCTTGTTTCCAAGACTAAGTTGGATGATTAATTGTCAGGAATGAAGTAAGCATGGTTGATTCTGCCATTATGCAAAGATGCAAACTGTTAGGGGATGTCTGCAGTGTGCGTTCTCAGCCCTATTTTCTGTAATTTACATGCAAGTGCTATGAAATACTGGTCAGGAAAAAAAAAAAGTAGAAAAAGGACTCAAGAGAAGCATAGATTTAGTTTTTCAAAGGCTTTGGCTAGCACTTCTCGTCACTGCTTGTATGTATTTGGGAACTGCAATCACAAAGGAGCCAAAGAAGCTTGTGTATATGTATGTTTTCTTTAAGATGAGGGGAAAAAAAGTCTAAATATTGTTTGTAGAAAGCTCCCTATAGTACTTGTATTTTAATAGTTGTAAAATTGCTTTTTACATATTAATATAAATAGAATATGATATTACATGCTGTTTTGAAACGTTAACTAGCTCTTTTAGAGCTATTGCTTCTAAACAGGCTGTTTTTAATGTTTATGTAATATAACATTTTAATTGTATGTATTTCTTTGTTTCAGTTCTACCAAATATTTGGAGCACTGATGCCGAATTTACTATTCCAGAGCAGAAGCAAGTAGAAAACAACGAGGAACTAGCCAACTCTTATGAAAGAAAATTGATTGAGGTAAAGCTTGTACTGTCCAGATTTTATGGGCTCATAATGGTAGCATAACGCTTGAGGCAGTAAACCGTTTCTCTGCTGTGGTGTAATTCTGAGTTCTTCCTCAGCTCAAAATAAAAGTCTGTTTCCCGAAAAAAGGAGAAAAGGGGGGGAGGGGAAAGAAAAGGGAGGAAAGACTTGGTTTGCATGCTTGTGTGGTTAAAAATTTGCTCTTTCAACTTGGAATTACTGTATATATTAAATTAACATATTACAAATAGTTTCCTTAACAATGAAACAATAGTTTTCTTATGTTTATACTTTAATAGGAAGTGGACTTGTCTCTAAATATTGTGTGTAATTATTAAGAAAAAGGGACCATACTTGTGTAATTATCTTTCAGATGAATACTTCTTTTAATGATTTTGATCTAGCTTGTTTTATTGCATTGAGACATAAAACCTTCATGAACGTACAGCAATAAGCCAGTTCCTTAAGGGTTTAATTGAGACTTTTTAACTTGAAACCATCACAGACAAAAGGTTTCAGGTGTTTTCTATATGTTACTGTCCATAGGTACCATCT